GAAAATATTTAACTATATAATGTATGCACACAAACAAATATGCAGCATCAAACAATACCATCCTTGAAGACATTTTTATTGTTTAACCTAAAAAACATAAAAAAGACCAGAAGTTACATACCACACAAGATATCCTTGATGACTTCCCAAACTTCACTGCCTCATCTTGAATCTGTGTTGCCAGCTCCCTAGTTGGTGATAAAACCAATACAGTTGGACCCATCTGAGGGTTATTACGGGTGCGCTTGAGATGGATGAATCCTGGAAGCAAATACCCCAAGGTCTTCCCCGAACCAGTTTTAGCAATGGCTACTATATCTCTACTTTGAAGAGCAACCGGCCAAGATTGTGCTTGAATTGGAGTTGGGGCAGAGAAACCTGCACTTTGTACCTGGAAAAAGAAAAAATTCCAGGAACCCCCATAAGCAGAGGTAATGACTTAAAGATTTGGATTTGTTTTCTTTTTGGCCTTATAGAACAGTGGAATGGCAGAAGAAGCAACACCCCCATTGCCGGCGACCAAAGCTTGCAACAGCAAGCTGGAGCAGGAGGAGGCCTCTTCTTTCATTCGGGCCAAGTGGTAGACTGAATCACCAACAGCAGGCCCAGCCACAAACTTGGGTGATTTGGAAAGCCCTTCCCAAAAATTGGTCCACGCAAAAGGGCACTCCAAATTAAATGCAAGCCCCCACAAAGAGGGCAGCACAGCGTACGACATTAGCTCCGCCCAGGAGCAAATATCGCACCTGCGACAAAAAGTACAGATGGCAAAAGAATTAACATGAGTCTGAAACTCAACATGGACCTCTAGCAATCATGTAACTTTGCACACAACACTCGGGTTACTTACACTTAATGGCCACCAGTATTATTCAAATGAAACACAAAAGCAGAAGCATAATTCAATACCTCTCTAAGAATCTCAGATGGGAAGCCAGTAGATTCAAATGAAGTGAATGGTGGAGGCACATTATCACCCTAGCAAAAGAGGTAAATCAAATGACTCTGTGAGCAGACCAAAAGTTGATATCAGGAAGCCACAGAACAGATCATTTTCAGGACAAACATAAGAAACATTTAAAAAATCATAACAGCTACTAGATAACAAAATCACGAATTCACATTAGTAGCTAACTAGCTATACAATTTAATAATAACAGTAATAATAATACTGCTTAATGATAACAATGATAAGACGAGAGAGAGAGAGAGAGAGAGAGAGAGGTAATGACATGACTCCATTGAAGACTCCTAGTACAATCAGCTGATCACATATGAGAAACATCTCTCACAGTGCAAGACCAGTACATTTTGCACCATACAACAATACACACATACATATTATGCACAACTATAAATGATCAGGCTAACCCAACCAATCCCAATGCAAAGGCATGCAGGCAGAAAATATAGAGATTTAAAACCACAGATCCTATGGAGAAAAGATAGATGGTAAAAGTACAAAACAGAATGACTAAGTACCACATACAAACAAGAAAGAAAAACCAATATAAACACTATGATATAACGTCTGTATAAGAAATTTCTTAACACTCACAACAACTGATATTTCATGGCGGAGACTATAAGCCTCAGCAGACAAACCACTTCCAGTGTCTGATCCATTTCCTTTCACAGAAGATCCTCCATGTGAACTTAGTGTCCCACTTGGGGTATTATGAGAAACTGTTGCACTTCTTGCAGTCTAATTCACAAACAACAACGCCATATCAGTTCCCATACAAAAACGTTTAGCAAGCAGGTTGCAGGGAGCTGCAACTGTATAAGAAGTCACCCAAGTAGCAAGCTTACCTGCTGAGTTCTTGATCCTGTGTCAAATTTCGAGCCACCATTGCTGCCTCTGCTATACCTATCATCTCCCTCATCAGGACGACGTTGCCCTTGTGAAGATTGTTGAACATGAACCGAGGAGCTTATAGACTGTGCAGAAGAGGGCTTTGATGGAGGAGCTGAGCTCGTTGGCCTATCATATTGGGTAACGTTGGTCTCCGGGTTCCAGAAGTAAAGATACCCAGTTTTACCATCAACCAGACCTCTCCATGGTTTGGGGAGAGTTGGGTCCTCCGGAGCATATCGAGGACCAGCAGCAGTTGCAGTGGCAGCCATGGGAAGAGAGCACTACACTATAACATTAAAAAAAAAACAAAAAACAAAGGAGAAAATGCACATATAAGTAACAAATTGAGATAAATATACACCAATCGATGAATATGTCAAAGCAAATCACATGCATTATGCCGAACGTATGTCAAAAAACATGCAAAACAAACGCTAGAAGATATAAAATTAAAGCCCAAAATTTTGAACAAAAAAATAAAATCCCAAATTTATGAGAATTTCTTAGTTACACGAAGCAGAAAATCTGCACCAAATGGAAAAGTGAGAAGATATTACATTACGGATTTTACACCGACCAAGTGTCAAATAAGCTTATCTCTGTTTGGTTCCCGAGAAAATTACAAAACGGAACGAAAACAAAGTCAAGCATCTATTATTCTAAAAAATAAAGCAAAGCATGCAATAAAATCTCAGCTTTCTCTCCCTATCATTTTCTCGAGAATCGACGAGAAAATCGGACATGCAAAAACCCTAGAACCCACTCAATCGAATCGTGCATTTGATTTGACCTAACGGAAAAATGCAAGCGTACGGCTCTGAGAGATCTAAGCGACGGGGAGAAATAGGGTTAGGGACGGAGAGAATCGGACCTGACGGCGTTGTTTGGGAGAGCGGAGGGAACGAGAAAAGCTCCGATGAGATCTGATGGAGAAACCCCCTTTGGCTGTGCGAAAGTGAAAAACCTACGCTTCCGAAGGGTGCGAAGCGTAGAGAGAGGAGAGAGAGTCAAGGGGACGACCCAATATATATAAAGGTAGAGGGGGGGAAAGAAGTTTAATTGGGTTGTAAATGATACTTTTAAAATGACTGAATAATTTTAGTATAAACGTAATCTAATTTTGGAAAAGTCAGAAAGCACTTCAATTGCTGTTAAAATTTAGAAATATTTTTTTTCAAAAGAATTTTCAGTCGTTTTAAACACTTCTAAACAAGTCCAAATATATTTGGGTTTTGGTGCATTTGTTTTTTATTGTTGTTTTAATTTTTCTTTTGGTAGAATTTAGTGGGTTACTATTTTTGAAAGGATTCTTGTTTTTTTTCAATTTATATCCCCCTTAATAAAATATCAGGTTGAGGCAATTCGAACGGTTTGGAAGTTCAACCCGACCCTAATTCAACTTTCTCTATTCGGATTATAGTTGGTTCAAATTCATTTGATTTCGGGTTCAATCAGATTAGGTCGGTTCAAGTTAAAAGATCAACCCATGAGTTAAATCTACAAAAAATTGTGAATTTATCACACAAATGAAACAAGTACAAACTCAAATTGAACTGCTAGGGTATTTCAAATCAACTGAAGCATCTAGTGTCACATCCCTGCCTAGGTTCCACCACTTCCCAAGCCCACTCCACCGTCGTAGCACAATATTGTCCGTTTTGGGCTCCGACCACGCCCTCACGGTTTTGTTTCTGGGAACTTACGAGCAACTTTCCAATGGGTCACCCATCATGGGAGTGACCTGGCCACCTTCTCGCTTAACTTCGGAGTTCCTACGGAACCCAAAGCCAGTGAGCTCCCAAAAGGCCTCGTACTAGGTATGGATGAAAATATATATTTAAGGATCACTCCATTGGCGATGTGGGATGTTACATCTAGAGTATTTCGAATCAACTGAAGAAATGAATTAAGGACATTAGATAATTTGCTAGATGAAAACCGAGTTACATTTGCTAGAAGGGAAATTTTATTTGAACTCATGTAACATTTTTCTACACCCAACTTACTCTCTTCACCCATATTGTTTTTTATTAAAGAATTAATCTCTCTTTAAACCCAAATTTATTGCTTAAACTACCATCTCAAACTCAAATCAAAATGTTAAGTTATCTTTACACACATATCCTTTATAAAATAACATTTGTAATTGAATTTATTTTTTTTCAAAAAAAAAAAAAAAAAAAAGAGGCATCTTTGCCCCACCTCCTTTTCCCACTAGCATTTCTATGGCTACTTTTTTTCTTTCTACTACAAAACCCAGACATTTGCCTTTTTTTTTCTTTCTACTAATGTGCTTAAGCAACAAATCAAACAATTCATCCTCTTATATTTATCAACAAGTAAGGAAGTTTATAATCTAAGAACATTAGTAAGAAGTTTCTCCTTGAAATTTCCCAATTACGAGCCATAGATATTTGATAACATGGAAAACACTAGGATTTAAAAAACCAAAAAGCCCATGCAATTAAAAGAAACCAATTATCAACTTTTCCAATAGTAAGTAGTTAAACTTGCTTGTATTGGTTCGAGAATTACAAGAAGATTGTTGTAGTTAGTTCCCTTTTTCACATTACTAATTTTTCCACCGTGAGTTCTAAACTTAAAACATAAGAGCAACTCCACCCTTGGAGCCCTCCCCCCTGGCAATCCACTATTGAATCCACCCTATTGAACAGTGACTGCCTTTAATGAATAGTAACTGCCATTAATGAACAGTAATTACCTTTTGCATCTCCACCCTTGGAGCCTTCCCCACTGGCAATAGGTAATAAAATATTAGTTTTTTTTGTTTGTTTAAATAATACAAAATAAAAAAAAACATGGAAATGGGGCTGCAGGCCCTCGGGCTGACACAAAAAAAATAAAAAAATGCCTGGCCCTCGGGCTGCAGGCCTGTCAATTCCCCACTCCCTTGTGCTCGGGCTCCCACCCTCACTCGGGCTCTCCAAGGCTGGAGGGTTGTCCACCGGGCCTCGGGCCCTTTCCTGGTGCCTGTCCCCCAAGCAATCCACAATGGTGGACTTGCTCTAATAGAAAATAAACTAAAGAAAATGAAATTTCAATATATCTATCAAAACATTTATAATCATCTTCAAGAGCTAGAATATCATTAGTGGCTACATTCTCTAGTCCTCCAAGTTGCTTAAATTGACACACTCCTGGTATTTGAGTACAAATTTTTCACTCTAATATCACTGCCCATTTGACTCTTTTTGTGCCACATGGTAGAAATTTGTGGCATAGGGTGACATTCAGACAAATGTACCTACAACAAACAAAGTTATCAATCAATTTAGAGTTATCAAATAAGATAAAAAAAAATACATACGTAAAAAGAAAAAAACATATCTTATTCTTGGATAAAATGATGATCTTCACCTAGATACCTAATAGCAACCTCACGTAGGTCAGTATCACTTGATTGAAATGAAAACTCCAGAGAGTATGGAAGAAACATAATGCATTGTGCTATGCTCAAGTGTATCAAAACCACATCGTAACATGTAGCAATAATATGCCCCATATATGGCATGGTCAACCAACTATACTCTGGTGCAAAACCATCTTCAAAATAATTAAGTGCTCGCTCAATCTCCGGATACATGTCGTTCCCTACAAAACACTTATGAAAAAGAGAGAGCATTTAACGTAGTTGATGTAGTAAATCTCTTCATACCTTACGCCATTCATTATCAATTCCCAATGCCACATATATGACTCTATATCCACAGTTTCCATCAGGATTAACATCAGTTTGACTAATAAGGGAATTCTTCTCTATAAATCCATGTCGTCAAGGGATCAATAAATTCAGGAGGTGTATAAATCTAGTATGACATAAAGTAAAGGGAAGTGTTATTGACACTCCAAAAATCTCATTCTATACTCATCACAATTGTATTTTTCTTTCCAAATATAGAAAGTTTGGAGTGTAGAATGAGATTTTTGAAGTGCCAATAACAATTCCCAAAGTAAATAATGAAAAAAATCAATGTTAGTTTATTCAAAGTAATGAAAGGAAAAGCTTGATTGTTTTTCAAGAGATGTGGAAATTTTTACCTACCTTAAATTGTTTTCGTTATGAGTATATATTAGTCTCTGGTGTTTGAATGTCACAACTCAGTTGATCAAGGACAACCTCGGCATTCACGATTGGTGATGTGGCAGCAGGATTCATCTTTTGTTTCTTTTTTTATAGGGCAGTGACATTCTCTTTTCGTTTCTTTTTTTATGGTGCAATGACATTCTCCTTTTGCTTCTTTTTTCTTTGTGAGATAGTGATAACATTCGCCATTGTACTAGTAACTGGTGTTTGACAATCAAATCTAGATTGGGCAAGTTAGTCCTTTGTAATCTCAAATGCTGACGGGAGACGCCAAGTAAAATTGTTGACTTTGCATGGTTGCCCTTTTGTTTTAATCTTTTCTTTTGGAGCATTAAGTGAAGTCGTACCTGGGTTCATTAGCTCTTCAATTTTCATCTTGAGCTCCAGTTTCTTATCATCATTTTGGTCTTCATACCACATATTAAATCTTTCTACCGGTGAGTTTTCCAGATGAACTAGTTGTTCACTATTATTTGGCACATTGATAAAATCTAATTTTCTCCAACGCGGATGAAGAGTGTCAAGTGGGATCGGCTTACCAAACCTTCTATATTATGCAATCTCATGTGCACACGTCAATTGATGAGTTTGGCAAATGGTACAACCATAAGATATGACAGTCACCCTTTCTTTTTCCAACTTGTTATTAAAAAGATATACAGTATAATTTAAGTCACCTTGAAATACAACGTAGTTTAAAAGGCTAAATAATAATAATGTAAATGCAAGGCAAACCCAAACTACCTTCAGTGGCGAAGCTACATAGGGACTGGGAGGGGCGTCCGCCCCTCCCCTCGCCGGAAATTAAGCCCAGGAGGGTGGTTCCGCCCCTCTGGTCTTGTCGGAATTAATGGCTACACCTACACTGCATATCGGTTCCTATCTGGGTTTCTGTTTGAGTTTCTGCTGCTATGCAGCAGCTTATGTTTTTGTTTTCAAATCCTTTAAATGAAACGACATCGTTTCATTTTAAAAAAACAAACTCCTTACTAAAACGCACCTTTTCGTTTGATAGGTTAAAAAAATAAATGAATTTTTAAAGGGGACCACTGTCCCGTGCCTTCCATTTTCAAAGTAGACCTTCACTTTTTGAAAACCACCCCACTTTTTGAAATCCTCCAGCACAGCAGCCAACCTGATGGGTTGGTTTTCCACTTCTCTCTCAATTTTAGGTAAATTTTTTAACTTTCTAATTTATATTATCCCTAACCCTAATTGATTAATAAATACAAAATTTTAGTTAATTAATATAGAATCATAGAGTAATACACTAATATAGTTATTGATTATTGATTTTTGCATATAAATATTTATTGATGAATGAAATTATTGTCTAGAGTAAAAATTTAATTCTTGATTATTGATATTAATTTATTAATTGATTTTTTGTGTATTAAATAATTTATATGAATATTGGTATTGATTAATTGAATTGTTGGTTTAATTAGTTAGTACTCATATTGACTATAGTATATAGCTTACTCTAGAATTAAGAGTCTAAGACTTTTTTTTTTTCTTTTTCATATACAGTTAACAATGGAACGATACTATAAGAAATAATGTTTAAATCCTCCTTCAAATATTCCGGCTAGTCCTTCTTCGAATATTCCGAGTAGTCCTCCTTCGAATATTCTAAATATTTCTTCTTCGAGTATTCCGAGTAGTTCCCAACAAAGTGAGGTCACTGAGTTGGATGAAATACTGGCTAATCTTCATGTAGACCCTGGACATAGACGTCGAATGCTTGATTATCCACCTAATTATCGTGAAGCAATTCGCCGACATTATCCCTAAAACAATCCTTGTCAACCTAAAGATCACATCATGCCCAGAAAAGTTAGCAATAATCGATGTTTTGTCACCCGTTGGTTTGATAATTTTAAGTGGTTGGAGTATAGTATAGTAAAAGATACCGCATTTTGCCGTTATTGCTATCTATTCAAGTGTGATTTTGATAAAGAGGGAACTGCCGGAAGTGATGTCTTCACTGAGATTGGGTTTACAAATTGCCGGAAGTTCGCCCCTCCCCCCGATAAATCCTGGCTTCGCCACTGACTACCTTTTGGACTCGCATACAATTAAGTTCAAAGCATGGATAGAAACAAAACCTACTAGTCGTTGTAACTCAGGTTTCTTGAATTTTTGTTGAACAAAACATCAACTTTTTTTCAAAAGATGTTTTAACCTCTGTATGATGCAACTTCAACAAGGAGTGTATGTGTACCCACAATGTCTCATAGTTAAGTTGACTGGAGCGAAGTTGTCGCTTCAACTTTGCATGTGCACTTTCTGCCATGTTTACAACAATATGTGAATAATCATAAATTATATATAGAATTTAAAAAGTAAGGAGAAATATACTTGTTTGAGGTTGTAGTACCAAGATACATTTTGTGCATCTCTGTATTTGATAGAGACCAAGATATTTTTGGGCCTCATCAAACTCTTAGACAGGTCCACCAACAATTCATTATCCTCTTTAGAAACTCAACTTGCAAAAGAATGTCCTTCAAGATACTCTAAAGCAGGATGATTATGCACCCCGCATACTACCTTCAATGTCCAATTGTCCTCATCGCCAATATTCACACATTTCAACAAGAATGGACATCCACATTTTTTCGTACTAGAACTAATAGATTTATTTATTTTTTATTTATTTATTTTTATTTTTTGTGATCAATCTCATCTGACCTTAGACCATATGCCACAACACACTTGTATGGCGAATATGTACCGTTTATTTCACAAGCAAGTGTTAGTCGAGGGCGACTCACAATCTTACCTTCACCTCCTAAATCAGACAGTTTAATAATAATCACCATATTATTCAGCTTTCCTTGTTCATGAACCCATCTAATCAACGCATCTTTTCCTTTGAATATCTACACGTAACACCTATCTATTTAAAGTAAAATTTTAAAATTAACTAATACGTCAATGAAATTGTAAATAAATGATTCCCTCATGAGTTGTAAATTGATCGGTATAATCCACTGCACATTCTTATCCAACCTCATTGTTTCGATTAGAGGAATCATCAAATTCTTGTTGCTAAAAAAATAAATGACAAAATTGTACTAATAAGTGGCCATGAATGACAAAGTTAAAAAAGTATTTAAACACATAAGCTCTAAGCTTGAATTATCTAATCATAGTGAGGATGGAGTTTTCATATATCTACTCAAAAAATATAAATTTTCATCAATAGAAGTAACATGTTGAAAGTATAGAAGCACTCAGCTAGGATTATTGGAAAATTTGCATTCTTTTACTAGAAGAACATAATTTGTAGTAAGGGCTGATCTCACCACATGTCAGGTTTAAATCGATTAAAAATATGGTGTGTTAATGTGTTAAGATCCTAGCAATTATGCAAGTCTGCACTAAAAGGCCTATTAGTTATAAATAAAGTGATAGGTGGCACTATAGGAAATAGTTATATTGATGCCAAATGGTGTTTTGGGGGTGTAGACAGACACTGGCAGAGAAAAACAACAAAAAGGAATTACATGTCAGACATCGAAATCCAAAGTGTTTTGGGGTGCAAACAGATACCGGAACCCAAAGTGTTGCAAAAAGTTTTGGGGCACTGACAAATGGTACAAGTCCTTTTGGGGTGCAGACAAATACCGGAATCCAAAGTTTGCAGAAAGTTTAACAAACCATGCGGGATTGATGAAAAAAATTGAAACCCAAATACTGATCTTCTAAACTTTAAAAAAAATTAAAATCAAACGAACAAAATGGGAATTGTTATTGACGCTTTAAAAATCTCATTTGAGACTCCAAACTTTCTATAATTAGAAAGAAAAATGCACTTGTGAGAAGTGTAGAATAAGATTTTTGGAGTGTTAATAACAGTTCCCAACAAAATATTCATAAATTGAGTCATACCTTAGTTAGAGGATTCAAAACTTTAAAATCACCATCCATGAATAAAAAAGCTTGTTTTTCACTACAAGACCTATTAGGGTGCGTTTGTTGCATTGGACTATCTCGGACTAGACTAGCTTCGAGGAGTAAGCTGGATTGGCTTGGCTTGGACTAAGCTGGATAATAATTATGAAGCATTTGGTGCAACGCCGACTAAGAAGCAGGACAATAAAAATGTTCATTTTATGTATTATTAAATTATTATTTTGTAGTTATTTCGATATCTAAACACCTAATTAATTCTAAAAAATATTGTTTGACCATTTATTAATGAGTAAACTGTCGATTTGCCCCCTGAACTATCACCCAACTTTCAATTTCTCCCCTGAACTTTTTAATTGGAAAATTAAGGACTTAAACTAATTTTTTTTGGCCAATTTCCCCCCTACAGTTAGTTTTTCATAGATTTCATCCAAATTAACGTTAACTCTTATCATGTGCAAACCACGTAACTCTCATTTGTGGACAAAAGTGTCATTTCACTAGACCTTTAGATACAAAAGCTATAGAATCACACATATTTGCATAGGTTTATATTTTAGAAATCTAAGGTTTTCAATTATTTTAAAGAATGAAGCGACCGAACTACCCACACATGTTGTGCATATGCTTCCATTTAACAAAAATTTGGATGGAATGAATGAAAAATTGACAGCAGGGGGCAAATCGGCCAAAAAAATTAGTTTAAGTCCTTAATTTTCCAATTAAAAAGTTCAGGGGGGAAATCGAAAGTTAGGTGATAGTTCAGGGGGCAAATCGGCAGTATACTCTTTATTAATTTACTTTTGTCCTTAGAAAAACTAAAAAGTAAGTAAAACTAAATAAATTAACATCAGTCATTAGCCCTTCTTCCTCGCAGAGAGATACAAAATCATGTCCATCAAGCAAGATCATTGTTTCTTTCTCAAAGCCGTTCTTCTTATTCGGGAAGCAAAACCCATGAAAATATTTGATTACTATGGAACAAATGGGAGAGAACCTAGAAATTAATCAAACCCAAAGTCATAAATTCAATTGAACAACATGAATAACCCAACCAAACCCATAAAATTTCTTGCCATAGAACACAAGATAAAACGTTTTCGTCACTTTGCAGTATTTGATCGATGGGTTTTAGAGTCAGTAACGAGACAGAAAAAAAGGAGATGGCTGATGGGTTTTAGATCTGGGGTGTAAGTGACTCTCAGTCTGACCTGGTTCTGCAGGAGATCATAAAGGAGTCAGCGGCAGAAGGCTACATCGAACGTTGCTCTATGCGAAAGCATGAAGTTGTAAGTGAGGATAGTCCTAGCTAATACCAAGGGTTCACTCCGTATTAGCTAACGCAACTTAGTGAAGCATTTAGTTGGCACGAGTTGAACTTAGCGTCATTTATGCTAGTCTCGTCTTACACCAAACATGGGATTGCTGTCCTAGCTAAGCCAGTCCCCACTAAGGAGGCCTAACAAACAGGGTCTTAGGATTTTAACTAAAATGAACGTAGATAAACAAAAAGTGATGGTAGGGTTAATAAATTTGAGTTTTATTATTATTTTTATTTTGTACTTAATAGTATGCAATAGGATAAAATAGACAATTAACAATTTAAATTTAGTTAGATGTAAAAAGAGGTTACATGGGTTCAAATAAAATTTCTCTTACTAGAATTCACTGTACAGATAAATGAAACGGGCTGGGCCATGATGGGCTCCGGCCAGCCACCCAATGATTTGGGCCGGGCAGTTTCAGGCCCAACTTTAAACTTCTATCGGACTTGTACCAGTCTAGCCCAGTAAAATAGAATGAGGCGAATGAACTCTAACTGAGACCTCACCTATTTTTATTTTCTTTATTTTCTTCGTAAGGGGACCAACTCGTGGCTTTGCCACGACAGTCCACTCTTTCGGAGACCGACAAGACTTATAAAGGCATTTCAGCCTCTCTCTGGCCACCATTGTGTGATTCACCAGTGCAAGAAAACGAACCCAGAACGTGCTATGTGAAATACGAGTCTGGAATTCGTCCCCAACCACTGAGCCACATTGTGATGGTTACTAAAACCTCTTTTATACACATTCGAAACTCCAATTACAAGTGTTTGTTCCCCATGAAAAAGGTCAAAACTTTTGCACAGGGCTAACCATGAAATCAAGTAGCTTTACAGAGAATTGAATCAATTGTTTCTTCCCCCCATCATGTTCTTCACCAAGTCCAATATTCGGAAAAAGTCATAAAAAAGGGCCGACTCCTTACCCTCCAGTCCATCACGATGATGTCGATTGCTGCCTGCTAGATTGTTGCACGGGCTCCCACCAATCACCAGATCAAATCCGCCAAACTCGCTCATGTACTGCTCAAGGTGATCACCATTCAGTTGCTGCACATCATCAACGTGCTGCAACCTCCCTCTCTGGTTGGTTTGCTCCCACCAACTGCTCACAACGTTTCTGTTCACTTCTGAGATCTCTACAGAGATAACATTCTTCAGAGGGACACCAAGCCGGTGAAGGGCTACTTCTGCCCCTCCAATGCCAGTAAAGAGGGAGAGGACGTTGATGCCATTGGGATACATATCCTTGAGCACAGACAGATGATATGCCACAGTGTCAACCTGCAACAGGTTCAAATTATTAAGTAAAATGCTAATGAACCTTATGAAACTTTGAGAGAGATTAAAATGTTAATGAAACGTAGACAGAATTCATTACCTGGAAGGAATTCCCAAGTGACTTGTACCTGTCAGTCCGGCTTATTCCCCTTGTGTGGTTTTTTGGGAACCCCAAAAGCATCTCCACTTCATCAGGCTCAAGTGGGGCGACCTTATTTCTCCCTACCCACACCAGATTCCACTTGCGGCATTCGTCAAGGACATACTTCTGGACTCTCTCTGGTGGTTCCCCATCAAATTGCTCAATAGCCTTCCTGATCCTCTCAGTCAACTTAGCACTTGCAATACATGTTTGCAAGCAGTTTAGCTTTTCCCGATTGTCCCAAGAAGGCCACCATTTCCTTGTCAAGGGAAATGCCTTGGCTATGGTGTCTGGGGGCTGTGGCATGAGAGGAAACCTATTCTGGATGGGGAGGTTGTGGACATAACCTCTCTTCCTTGCAGCAGCAGAAAAGTACTTTGAGTCCACAAACTCCGGCTGCACATCATACAGGAAGCGGGAGATGGTGGTCCAAACCCCTTTAGGAGCTAGTGCGACATTCTCATAATAGAAGTATGGAGGCCCTACAGCTGCCTCTGGGAGAGTCCTATGTGTCAGCACATATGGATCAGTTGGGGTGCCAAACCCAACCATTGGATTTGGGAGATGAACCGTCTCATCATCATCCCCTTGGTTTCCACAAAGCCGCATCTGCCTCTTCTTCTTCTTTAGGATCTCATACTCGAGAAGTTTCCTCTTCTTGTATGAATGTGATCCAGGCTGTAAAAGTAAAACAACAATCACAATCTATGAAACTGATTTTGTTAAAAAACCGCAAAAGGTTAGTATAATATATATCAGCAAATACCTTCTCTTCAATCGGAAGAAGGGCATCTTCCGCCCGTGCCATTTGAGCAGCACATATAAAATCAGTCAACTCAACAACAGTGGAGTCTGTACCTGAAATGTTTGAAGGGAGAAATAGGGCTAAGGAAGGAGAAAGAGGCAATCAAAATACTAGAACTGAAAAGGAGACTTCAGAAAGGATGGCATAACAAACTGGCTTAACTAGCAGAAAGTGGTTTACCCAGAATCCCAACAGAGCATACAGCTATGAAGGATGTTTCTTTGGCCCCCAAATCATATATAAAACATATTCTAGTCAACATTATCCAAAAAATTCTCATGACTAGGCATTTGGTTCAGCGCTGAAATTATCCAAAAATAAATAAACAGCATTTTACAGGATATCAACTTAATCATCCAAATCAAAGCAAAAGTAACTAAATGGGTTGGCATGCATTTGTGGGCACATGACTGTGATCCCGGCTGCCCACAAGGGAAGCAAAAAAATTTCCAACATGAAGGTGAAATGTTACACTATATGAATGCACTTTTATTTATTTTTCTGAGAGTCTAAAGTTATACCAAAAGCAGCATTTTCCAGGATTTCAACATAATCATCCAAAAAGAACCAAAGCAAAAGTAACTAACTGGAGATGTGGACAGGAAAATGCTAACAGCAACATAAAATCAACATTATGCATGTAGATAAAACTAAGCTTATACCACATCTTTCGATTGCTATTGAGGCCTCCTCCATTGTGTACCCCATATTGACCAAGGACCGTATCTTCCCTTTCTCCGATGTAGGATTTATGATTTCCTGCACAATAGGTAAATGAAATTTCTATGAGATACACACGTGTGAAATGTGTTTGACTCTTTGTCATGAACTCACTATCCTGTGTACATTGGCATTAGCACACAAAATAGTGCGAGACGCATTTTTAATGATGTTGGAAAACGATGTAATATTTTTGTCATTTGAAGGATTGGGGAAACACAGAAAATACAAAACTTGGCAAAAAGGGAAAAACCAATATAACATACAACTTATTAGCAAGGCCAATGAACTACCTCGGTATCAGAACAGCTATCCAAGTCTGAAAAATCATCCAGAAAGCTCTCATCGTAATCATCAAGAGAGAAGTCATCGGAATCAGCTTCCTGCGGTTCTACTTCCTGTGGTTCTACTTCCTGGAGCGTTTCTACTTCCTGCTTTTCTTCAGGAGAACTCTCAAGAGCCTGCAAAAATATTATCAAGAAAACTCTCAGGCAGGAAGAAATGTTCTTATTTCTTAAGATATGTGACCCATTCATCTTGATAATTTCTTATAGGATCATATTTGATTTTGATTTAACAGAACTCACTTACTACTAGTCAAGATAATACAACAAATAAGGAATCCAGTCTTATAGCCATATTCGGCAAACAATAATGTAAATCCTTTTGTGCATGGGCTAGTATTAAGTGAGTTCCGTTATACCAAACTTGCAAACCCAAATTATCCATATTGCGAAAAATAAGTATCCAAAGCAGAATTCTTGACTCACCGAATAAGTGAGGAGGGTTTCCAGAATTGAATCTGTATTTTCTTCTCCTGGATATTCCATCAGAGCAGTAATTGAACCATTCGTATGAAAACGTTTACTGAAATGAAATGATACAATGCTCTTACCATGTTCCTGAATTGCTTTGACAACCATCTTTTCAGAAAATCCCATCGCCACAAAGTGATCAAGAACTTTGGTATTGGAGGGACCGGCCGATGAGCTCGACTTCAAGAAGAAAGACGAATTGCAAGTTAATTATGTAACATATATTATATATCCCATTTAAATAATCATCAGTTATCCATAAATGTTTGCAAACTCATCGAAAGGGATAAAAGTATGAAGAAGTAGATTCAGAAATTTTCAATGGAGAAATGTCTAAATACCACTAAGAGACATTAGGTGCAGTTAATTTCATAAACAAGAGGGAAGTATTTCGTCTATGCCCCAGATGACATTATGAGTGTACAGATTGTTTTAACCATCTCAAAAAACATTACAACAACAACAACAACAACAACATCAAAAAATCATTTCAGAACTAATGCAAAAATGTTTACCTCCCCAGATCTCACAATAGCTTCTCCACCAACTGTCAAACTTGAAGAAGTAGACAACGTAAAGTTCTCAATTTCCAGCTCATCATCAGTATTCCAGTCAAAATCATTACTGTCTTCACCATCCTGCATAAGTTTATATCATATACGTAAACAATTAAAAGAAGTAAAAGGGACTGTTTTTACATAAAGAAGAAAGGACAACGTTAGTCAACTAAGGGCCACTCAAACACTACAACCATAGTTCACCAACAATACAACTCTAAACCAGCTAAGTCCAGAGCATAACAACTAGAGCAAAAAACCAAAAATCAGCTGCCTAATTTCCACATTTAGCAATAAGGAGAATCTTTAGATCCAAACGAAAACAGAGCCCACAGCAGCATCCAGAATGTCAACAAATTGTTTCGAAAAAAAAAGGGGTCAGTCAAGCCCAACAATTGAGTAAATCAGAAGTGAAGAGTGACTAAAGATTAGCAAAGGACTAAATGAAATGAATGAATGAATAAAAAACTTAGTAAAAAAACAAATACCATTTCACCGTAAGCTTTGTTTGCCCCACGCAGCGGTTTCCAACCTGTCCAAGTAATACACAGAAAGAATAAGTGCAAAAACAACTGCAAATTTTGATTATAAAAGTAAACAAATATAGTAATTACCCAGTTTCTATAAGAGGCTTTATAGTAGACAACTGAGATTGCATACTCATGACTATTATTTAGCGTGTCCAGCTAGAATTGGGGTCGACTGGTACTTGACACCATACAGCAAGAACACAACATAACTCGACTAACATCATACTGTTAACAATGCCCTTTTTCAAAATAAATTCAAGAATCCCGAATAGTGCAGCATAAATTTCGAAGCGTAGAGCATCCGTTAGGCTACAACTTAAAAATATCCCTCTGCATGCTAACACATTCAGATTTTCTTGCATTCTTTACGCAATCAACGGCCAAACCTGTTGGATTTCAATTGGACCAACCCCATCTGCCTCCCCAACCCCCCAATACTTCCTAATTCCAGTATTTGAAAGACAACATAACATCCACAAAACCACAAAGCATCCATCTTTCTACAATACCAAACACAATATAAAACCCCAACTGTTTCCTGAGAATTGAGGCAAAATGCAGAAGGAAATCTCAACACTTTTTCTTACCCTCAAATAATTGAAAGAAAAGAAAATCTAAAACCACTGTTCAATATCCCTTCATGTCCTACTTTTCTCGGCAACCAAACAGTGGATTTCATCTGTGGCATAAAGAAAATTCCCAATCTTTCACATAAACACAAAATAAAAACCCTAATCAACAACAAAAACAACAACACCAGTAACTAATTACCCACAATTCAAAATTGCGATTAAAAACAAAACAGAAGCAGCCTCGGTCAAAGAAAAATCACCTCCCCAGGAGGGGCCTCACTGATCCCGAAGCTCCCCTCGTTAATACCGGCAATGCGCTTCGCCTCCGTCAAAACCTCCCCTTGCGGCCTTGTACGGCGCATGCGAAGGGAGCTCCGCCGCTGAAAAAAAGACCCGGGCGGCAGAATTTCGCAGGGAAACGAGAAGAGCTCGGTGGAGAGAAATCTAGAGAGAGAAAGCCTCTGAATCTAGAGAGAGAGAGAGAGAGAACTGTTGCAGGTCAATTCAAAGAATTGCGTAGACAGTCTCTGGACATATTCGCAACGCGAACCAGAGCGCTGAGGAAGGAAGACGGTCCTCCAGCTCCCGGTGCGCGCTTGGAATCACGCACAACGACACGCCGTTGTGTGAAATTCTTTCAAATACTCGCTCACTTAATACTATTACTTATTTATTTATTTATTTTTTAATAAAATTTCTAAATTAATCCACAAATCCTCTCACAAAATTGGTTTTTGAAGCTTCTGGCGTTATGATTTGGGGTGTGAATAGCGTTTCTCTTTTTATTTAATTAAATGTTATATGTTAATTGGAAGCAGCAAAAGTGGGGTCCATTTCTTGGAATCCTGCTTTTGCTTTTGGTTGGGTGGGGGAATAAGTGTGGTGGGACAAGCAAGTATGTTAATTTCATACTCTCGAGAGTATGAAATTAAGATTCTTGTTGCTTCCTAGTGAAAAGTGACATAAGCTAAAGATGAGAGAAATAAATACTTTTTATCATGACAATTCATATCTGAATGCTCATTTCAATCACTTTTTATCTTTTTACTTGTAACTTATACAATTATGTGACGAGAGAAACAGACACGTCTATTTTTTCAACACATGGGACCTAATCTTTCCGCGTCAGGAGATTTAACATTTCACTTCTTACTTTTTACAGCTTTTTACACATGACACGTAATAAATTTCACTTTAACATGCAATTTATCAAGAAATTACAAGAATCACTACAGGTGACTCATGGTTAGAGATGAATTTCAAGTCTGTATTTTACACACCACTTCTTGAATTCGATTCTTAACGCTCTTGAATCACACGATGGTGGGGAAAGAAATGTCCATGTATGTAGCTTAACAACAAAAATAATATATTCGTGGTGTAACATTCACAACTACAAATAATTGTTCCTAAATTCATGTAGAAAGAACTTTGCAATTTCCTTTTTCTTTTATACAAGGATATATTTTAATATTTGTATTAGTTGGATTTTAAAATTGCCCACTTAATTATTTATTTTCCTCTCAAACATGTTGTCGTAGGTATTTTTGTGGATCTTTTATTCCAAACGTCAGAAGTAAATAAAACCAGCATCATGGCTAGCAATGGTCATGGCGACGGTGGGTGGCCGGCATCTTAGCGAACCATAGTGGCAGATGGTGGTGCCAACGTAGGCTTTAGCCGCGATCAAATCACACAGCTGCCATAGGTGATCCAATCACTCATCAGAGTCTTAGTAGATTAACGTGCCGGATCAGCCAGAAGTACAGTGTTTTTCACTAGTACGAAGGAGCAAATTACATTAATGGTACAGTTGCTACACAAATATTTGTCTCGGCCAGGCTTATCTAGATACCTACAAAGGCACATTGCTTTCGGGCATGCTCCGGCACCAGTCTGGAGTCTGGACAAAAGCTCAAGAGTTGCTCCTTTCAGCTCTGCATACGCAATCATCATTCCAATAACGATATATCCATCAGCACCACATAAAGATTTGAGGGAAAATGGCTACTTACAGCAGTGAATCTTATTGCTTTAGGAGAGCACGCGCTTGTGGAATTAATATCTGCATGCAAGGAAGATAATAAGAACGAAAATAACACGCAAAATCATTGCAGAAGAACAATTCTCAGCAAGGAAGCTAGAAACTCACTTTCTGACAAGGGTGAGCCTTGATTTGTGGGAATTTGAATTCTGTATATAATTCGGGTTCATCGTTTGATTTCCTCACGATAAATGTTAATCCAGTTCAGGTTGCATAAGCTGACTGATCAAGATTTTTGAGTTGATCACATGATGGATACGTACTTTCCACCGCGCAGAAGTCACAAGAACATTACCTTAACAATCTCAACAAGCTGATCATCACCACTTTCACCTGGGAAGAGAGCGTTGGGGATCACCTAAAACAAAGAGGAACAAAACAATCAAATGTGAATTCATCTTCTGCTGAAAACGAAAAAATTGGCAGAACTTTTTATACCAGTTGAGCTAGAACACAACCCACAGACCATATGTCAATAGCAGTAGTATATTCTTACCGGTAATACAATTAAGCATAAAAGAGGTCGTACCCAGTGCATAAGGCTCCCGCTTTACACAGAGTTTGGGAGAGGTGAATGTCGGCTAACCTTACCCCCATTTTATGGAGAGGCTGCTCCCAAGTCTCAAACCCGAGACCTACCACTCATGGACGAAGACACTTGTCATCGCACCAAGTGCGACCTCTTAATTAAGCATAAAAGAGGTAAGAAAAAAAAAAAGGTATAAAATAATAGATATTCGAGTACAAATTAATTAAGAGATTCCGCGGCTTAATGTTTATGGTATGTTTCAATCATCTACAATCACATCATATGGTTTGCAAAAATTGGTATAAAAAGTTAGAGCTCCCTAGTATGGTTTGATTGCGGACATCCAATGAGTGTTGGAAAACTAAGCATCTAGGTGTCCAGACTTGTCGTTCGTAATCACAATGGGTTCCATAAGAATTTATTGCTTTGAAGGTATTTAATCGTTGTTCCGGACTTAAATTTAGGGTTCTTTATTGGGATTCTTGAAACTCGAGAATAAACCGTAATGCCTACCAATATATTTATAATAAAAAACAACTATTTTTTTTTCTTTGGTTAGTATAATAAAGACTTTAGTTTGTCTACTATAAGGTAACGTTTGGTACGCAGACGGGACAGAACGGGACGAGACGAGACGGAACAGAACATAACGGAACAGATGATGTAAATATTGAAAAAGATAAGGAGAAACTTTGTCATAAAATGTTATAAATTTGTGTTCCACGGATGTGGAACGGGTCGTTCAAAGGGAAAGAGGTGGAACAAAAAATCAGCCAAATTTCGTCTCATGGGACAACCCGTTCCATAGTTTTTAAGCGCACCAAACGTGGGACGGAACGGCTCGTCCCGTTCCGTCCCGTCCCGTCCCACGTATCAAACGGTACCTAAAGTAATTAAACTTTTAATTTTGTGTGCTAGTAGGATACACGTGGTATGAGGTTAAGTAAAAAGGATGAAATGAAAAAATAAGTGAGAAAGTTGCTAACATTCTTTAATAAATTATTGGATGCAAAGAGTGAATCACGGCACCCTTCTAGTTCTAGTTGCATATGTAAGTAGTGAAATCCTACCTTAATATAAATAATTTTTATTTTTATATATGTGATCGTACAAGTGACTTGGTCCATCGTTCGACCTCAATAGTTTCTCATTTGTTATATCAATTTCAAAACAATTTAAAAGGTAGTCTGAGGTTTCACCTACCTTACGGGCCTTATACATGCTTCTTCAAGCCTACTAATTCCCTGTCCAATTAGCCCAATCGCATATAAAGCCCAAACGCCACACCTTCATTTTTATCAGTTTTTCTCACCTATGCACTTGGGGCGTGTGCACGGGGCTGCTCACGACTTGGAAAGTGATTCGGACGACGGAGATGATGATATTATACTCGTGTTAACCACGTTCATATTTAATAGATATTTTTTATATATTTTTTGGTGTAGTTAATACGTTGTCGATGTTATTAATATGACGTGTACATTTGATAAACATAAAGCAATACAATGTGGTTGTTAAGATGATGTTGATATTTAATTGCAAAAAAGTCATCCCCGTCGGAAAATGATCCTCTCTGGATCCCTTCCTCCTAATCCGCAAAGTTTGGAAATCCTGACCGTTGATATTTAATTAAATGGCTAAAGTTATTATAACTTTTAAAAAAGCTCATGTTTGTAATCGTTGGATCAAATTTCAACGGTCCAGATCTCCGAACTTGATGGATTAGGAAGAAGGAATCCAAAGATGATCCTTGTTTGTCCCCGTCGTCCGGGTTGCTCCTCCGGATTCTGCGAAGCCAATACGCACGGCACGACCCACATACTAAGGGGAGAAAAAAATAATTAATTATGTGAGATGTGGTTCTATCAAATGCTATTGGGCGATCAAATATTTCAGGTGAAATCTCAATTCTCCCAAATATATAATTATGCAGCAAATTACTGTCCGAATTAATTTATCAAAATTCTTATAAATAAACTATTTATGATTATGACACTGCACCCCTAGAAGGGGTAATTACTTTTCCATGAAAAATATTATAAGTATTCGTTTAATTCACGGCTCAAACTCGAGTTCATAGAAGCAAGAGAAATAAAACATTGAATTTGTAATTAACAAGCAACCAATTGTGTGTGTGTATATAAAAATGAGAATGATGAAGGATTATGCGAGTTGAACTATTCATAAGGTTTGGTCATCAAACTACAAAAATAGGTGACTTTCTTTTGCTCATAGCGATTAAAAAGTACTAGCTTCTTGATCAAACGACCCCATATCCCCCGTCTCCAAAATTTTTCTTAAATAAAAAACAAAGAGATAAAAGCGGAAACAATATATCACATAATTTGTCTTCTAAATTTTACGGCTCCTCGTGATCAACACCCTAGTCTCTAAGCTTAGAACACGGCGTGATCAGGGTAATTTTGATATCATTCATGCACGAGCAAGCTATAGAGTACTATATTTTCAATTCAAACATTGCGTCTTCTAGTAGCAATTTTTTTTTAATTCCTAATTTCATATTGCTGATCAAGTGATTTGAGCAACAACTATGTACACTTTTATCACGGAATTAAGGAGCAAAATTATAATTTCGAAATTTAAACTCATATATAGCGTTTGTGTTTATCCATTATACAGATCTTGAAATTTTAACTTATTTTACGAGAATAAATAGGGTCGTGATGAGCATCACCATCACTCAAGGATGGTGAACAAAAATATTCCCCTCAATTTATGAGTCATATTTTGATGATTTCATAGCATCGTTACATGCATGATTTTATAACATACTCATATTATAACACGTGACATGTTATCTAAAGTCATGCATGCATGCAATCATCTCATTGTAATCAAGGACGGTTTAATGGTTTGAAGTTACATTTCACTTGATACTCTTGATGTACCCTTGTACATGATGATTGTTCTTGGTGTCGCGTTTTATGCCATGCCTTTGTTTTCTCTATTGATCAATATAAAAAGTGTTCTCACCGTTGAAATACCCTAAATAAAACACGTGATCCCTTTATTAAGAGCTTGCTTATTTAAAGTATTTTTAAAATAACTAAAAACGTTTTTTTGATATTGTTTGGTTAAAAAAAGTTAAAATGCTTAATTATGCTGTGAAAAAGGACTTGAACTCATTTAAAAAAGAAATACGTACCTACAATGTGCTTATATCACGAAACACTTAGTATTTTTATCATAGTTTCGAACCTCCTCCGTTGACTCAGAAAAGGATAAAACCCAGTCGCATGCAAATGTTGGTCATGAGTCAATATTAGGAAAAATAGGAATGTAAATAATAGGAGTCCTTTATTAAGTAGGTTTGTATAAAAGCTTTTGTTTCCTTGTTTAACTTAGATTGTACATGTATATATTTCTAAACAAGTAATACAAGAATCATTCCCGTAAAAGTTCTATTTGGTATCAAGAGCAAGCCGAAACCCTAGTGCTTTCCGCTGCGCTTGGGTGCCTGCGTTTTTTCTGCAAAATTTCTGCAGAAAACAGTGTAGGCCGTGAGTGGTTGTTTGCTATGTGTGCACTGACTTCTCTGCACGTTTTTTATGTGGTGTGGTTGTGTGTGCGCCTCAGTATCGTATTTGTTTTGTGTTGATTTGGTGAGTAACACCGAATGGACTCAGGAGGCAGTGGCGTGATGAAGTTAGAGGGCAGTAACTCAACCAATAATCAAGTAGTGAATCATGTCGTCATTCAGAGTGATGCGTCTGCTGTATCCAATACCGTGAAGTTAAATGGATCAAATTATCCTCTTTGGTCCAAGGTTTTGGAGATGCACATCGCTGGACGCGGTAGGAAGGGCTTTATGACTGGGAGTACCAAGGAGCCTGCTGAGGCTAGTGCTGAGTATGGACGTGGGAGACAGGGAATGCAATAGTAAAAGGGTGGTTGATCAATTCCATGGAACCTACTATCATGGGATTTTTCATTCACCTGCGTACTGCTAAAGTTTGGGAAGAGGTGGCTCGGACCTATTATGATGGTTCAGATATTTCTCAGATTTATGAATTGAAGGTTAAATCGTTCAGACTCCGTCAAGAGGGTCGGCCAGTTGGTGTGTATTATGCTGATCTCAAGTCCGTTTGGCAGGAGTTAGATCAACGGAGACCAATCAAGATGGTATGTGATGTGGATCTCAAGACACTTCGAGAAGAAATTCAGATTGATCGTGTGTATGCTTTTTTGGTGGGTTTGGATGATGTGTTTGATAAAGTGCGTAGTGATATTTTACGTGCTCAACCCTTACCCTCTGTTGAGGAGGTGTTTTCTGTTGTTCGACATGAAGCTCAACGGCATGCTACCATGATGGGTGGAAGTAACAATCCAGGAGGGTTGCTGTCCATGGCAATGATCTCACGGCCAGCTGGTACTCATCGTTCTAGTAATTCTTCTAATCAATCTTTAAATTCTCGTCCCTTCAACCGAGAAAATAAAGATGATTTGAAGTGTACTTTCTGTGGACAAACCCGTCATACTGAGGATACATGCTTTGTTAAGCATGGGGTGCCTGATTGGTTCCCAGAGTTAAAGAAAAAATTGCGTGCCAATGAGCGTGGAGCAGCCGGGTCCAGTGGAGGCCGTGCCTCCCTTGCTGCGGCTACATCCACAGTCCAAGAAGTCGTGCCTAGCCCCAGTGATTCCAGTCAGAATTTGTTGACTCGTACTCGAGGTGACTCGTCGTCTGACACAGGTACCGTGGGACATGTTCTCTTAGCCTCCGAAAATCAGCACCATACAGGTTGGATTCTGGACTCTGGGGCAACGGATCTTATGACATATGATAAAAATATGTTTCAATACATGACTACATCTCACAGGAAAAATATATCAACTGCCAATGGTACTTTGGCACCCGTGTGTGGTGCCGGCACTATGCATCTCACCCCGTCACTTCCCTTACATCATTGCTTGCTTGTTCCTTCTTTATCCCATCACTTGTTATCCATACCACATGTTACTGAACAATTGGATTGTGTTGTTCTAATGTATCCATCCTTTTGTCTACTTTAGGATATTCAAACCAAGGAGATAATTGGGCGTGGCACTAAGAAAGAGGGGTTGTACTACGTGGACGACGTCGTTTTTGGCAGAGTTAATGCAGTTCGCGCGTCCCGGTCTAGTAATTTACAAGAAGTGTGGTTGTTGCATCGTCGGTTAGGGCATGCATCTTTTGGGTATTTACGGCATATGTTACCTAGTCTATTTAGTGGAATAAATGAATCAGACTTACATTGTGAAGTATGTATTCTTGCTAAAAGCCATCGTGCTTCTTTTCCGCCTAGTATGAATAAAAGAGCTTTACCGTTTGAATTTGTGCACTCTGATGTTTGGGGACCATCTCCTGTTGTTACTTCTTCTGGGATTAAGTGGTTTGTTACGTTTGTTGATGATTGCACTCGTATGACGTGGCTATATGTGTTAAAAAATAAGAGTGATGTTGGTATGGTATTTCGGATTTTTTCTCAAATGCTTCGGACCCAATACTTCTCTGTGATTACAGTTCTCCGTTCTGATAATGGTGGTGAGTATATTAATCGTGAGTTGTCAGAGTTTCGTTGTGATCAAGGCATTCTCCATGAAACAACCTGCCCCTATACTCCACAGCAAAATGGGGTGGCTGAACGGAAAAATCGCCATATCTTAGAAACGGCACGTGCACTACTTCTGGGCGCGTCTGTTCCTAAGATTTTTTGGCCTGAAGCCGTTACTTATGCCGTCTACGTGATTAATCGTATGCCCTCTCGGGTGGTTAATTTTCGAACTCCTTTTCAAGTTCTCACTCAACATGTTCAAGTGATGTCTTCTCATACTCTCCAACCCCGGGTATTTGGGTGTGTGGCTTATGTGCATATTCAGAAAATTCATCGCACTAAGTTGGATCCGTGTGCACTTCGATGTGTGTTTGTTGGTTTCTCCTCTCACCAAAAAGGATATAAATGTTATCACTCTGCGACTCATCATATGTATGTTACCATGAATGTGACATTTTCTAAATCGGAGTATTTTTATGCTCATGTATCTTCATCTTCAGATCACTAGGGGGAGAGCTCTAGTGGTGATCTGGAATGGTTAGACTTGGAAGGAATCCCTGTGGTTGATGCCGTGCATAATGAGGCAGTGATCATACATGCCAAGAGTGATAAATTTGCAAGTTCAGCTACAGATATTCCACGGCAGTCTGTTGCCGTAAGCAACATGCAGACTGCTGCCGAGAGCAGCATGCAGTCAGGACTGGTTCCAGAGGAGAGTGATATGCAGTCAGGACAGATTGTTGTTGAGCCTACTGATGTAAACCCCTCTCTCTCTAGCTCCATAGTGCTGCCCAATGAATCTTCTCTGGATATACCTGAGGTAAGTATTGTGGATGATTATGTAACTAATGCGAGTAATGATGTAAATACATATAAGCTGCCACCGAGACAAAATCGGGGTGTGCCACCTGACAGGTTTTCTCCGGAAGGCAAAGTGAAGTATCCAATAGCCAACTATGTCTCATGCAATGGTCTTGCACCAGAGCGCAAGACTTTGGTGAACAATATGGAGGCTACTCGAGTACCAACCCGTGTGGAGGAGGCTCTCAAGGATCCAAACTGGGCAAACGCAATGGATGAAGAAATGTTGGCGTTACAGAAGAATAATACCTGGGAGGTGACGTCTTTCCAGAAGGGAAAAAAACAGTTGGCTGTCGGTGGGTGTTCACTGTTAAATACAAAGCCGATGGATCAATCGACAGGTACAAAGCAAGGTTGGTAGCTAAAGGATACACCCAAACATATGGTGTAGATTATCAAGAAACGTTCTCTCCGGTTGCCAAGATGAATACGGTACGGGTTCTGATATCTTTAGCTGCTAATATGAACTGGCCATTAAAACAATTTGATGTGAAAAATGCCTTTCTTCATGGGGACTTGGAGGAAGAAGTATATATGGATTTTCCTCCTGGGTACAGTGCTGGTAGAAGTACCAGAGTATGTCGGTTGCGTAAGTCTCTTTATGGGCTTAAACAATCGCCTCGTGCATGGTTGATAGGTTTACTCAAGTTATGAAAAAGATTGGGTATTATCAGAGTCATTCTGATCATACATTGTTTGTCAAACGGAGACAGGAAAAAGTGACGGCCTTAATCATATATGTAGATGACATGATTATTACAGTGGATGATTGTGATGAGATTTCAAGGCTGCAGAGAAATCTTGCGGCTGAGTTTGAAATGAAGAACCTAGGGGATTTGAAGTATTTTCTTGGAGTTGAAGTTGCTCGATCCTCGAAAGGTATTTTCTTGTCACAACGTAAGTATGTTTTGGATTTGCTAAAAGAAACTGGTATGCTGGGATGTAAGCCAGTTGATACTCCTATTGTTGAAAAAAATCATCTATGTTTGGATCCGAATCAGAAATCGGTTGATAAGGGGAGATATCAGAGACTTGTAAGGAGACTAATTTATTTGGCTCATACACGACCAGATATTGCCTATGCAATAAGTGTAATAAGTCAATTTATGCATTCACCGAATGTAGATCATATGGTTGCTGTTATGCGTATCTTAGCATATTTAAAGTCTGCACCTGGAAAATGAGTTCTATATCGGAAGCATGGACATTTGAGGATTGAGGGGTTCACGGATGCTGATTGGGCAGGAAGTGTAGGTGACAGACGGTCTACTTCGGGATATTTTACTTTTGTAGGAGGCAATTTGGTCACATGGAGAAGTAAAAAACAGAAGGTAGTATCAAGATCCTCAGCTGAGGCCGAGTTTCGAGGGATGGCTCACGGCATTTGTGAGCTTCTCTGGCTTCGAAAACTTCTTGAGGGGCTTGAGTTCAAGCCAAATGAGACCATGAGACTATACTGTGATAATAAGTCAGCGAGAGATATAGCTGATAATCCAGTACAACATGATAGGACAAAACATGTGGAAGTTGATCGACATTTTATTAAAGAGAAACTTGAAAGGAAGATTGTGTCGATACCGTTTGTGAATTCGGAGGAGCAACTTGCAGATGTTCTAACTCATGCAGTGTGTAGTCGAAAGTTTGATGACTCACTTGTCAAGTTGGGCATGTGTGATATCTATGCACCAACTTGAGGGGGAGTGTTGATCATGAGTCAATATTAGGAAAAATAGGAATGTAAATAATAGGAGTCCTTTATTAAGTAGGTTTGTATAAAAGCTTTTGTTTCCTTGTTTAACTTAGATTGTACATGTATATATTTCTAAACAAGTAATACAAGAATCATTCCCGTAAAAGTTCTATTGCAAAGACATGAAACATCTGATAGTCCAGTTTAGTACTGTATCGGAAAAACAAAAAGTCTACTAGGTACTGTAGTTAATAGGTGTACCAATCCCAAAAGCAATGGCATGATATCTGGTGTAAGTGGTTTAACGGTTCTGTCGTCAATGATCACATGCATGCATGACATATTGATGATGCATCACAAGTCACTTTCGCCCCAGACTTTTCAATAATGTTTAGCCATTAAAATTTTACAATTAATCACCGTATTTTCTAGCATTTTCTCGGTCGAAGATAAGCCAATTCCTCCATTTACTTATAATGTATTATTACAGTAAAATTTTAGTAATTGAAATCGTTCAATTTTATAATTTTCATTTGAAGATATTTTCTTTGAAAGATCATTCGAATCAACTATTGTTTAGTCATCTACATGTATAAAATATATCAACAATTTATCATGAATATACTATTTGATACTTACACTGTTGATTTATTTGATATATTTGGATAACTAAACGATATCCGACTCAAATTCTTTTTAGTATGAATGATTTTCAAATAAAGATTAAGATATTGAACGGTCCGATTATAAATTTTTTAGTGTAAAAATACGTTATTTGCAAGTGGGGAATAAACTCATCCCATAAGGAGGAATGCAAGTATAATCTTTTTTTCTATATCTTTGAAAATTACAACCACAAATTGGCCAAAGAAAAAGAATGGAAATTTACAAATCAATAATTGTGCCATGTCCTCAGCCGGTTTTATTGGCTTCCAATAGAATTTTGATGCATTCCGTGATATAATGTCTCAGAATTGTCGAGTCCATAATTTTTTGTTTTATATCTGATTTTTTTTCCAGCTGCATCGAGACTAATGGTGATATAATGTTAATTAATTATATCACGATGCTGCATGACAATTTGTAATCTGAAATTTTCTTTGACGCGTGCCATTCCAAAACGAAATCGTAAATCCTGATTAGCTGTTTGATACGATTGAGTATTATTTTATTTGTTTATTAAGAGGAAGTCGTGGTGCTGCAAATCTTGTTTAAATTACTGTTTCTAAAACTCAACCTCTGAATATCTACAGAATTCGTGAGAAACATGTTTCTAACTTAACGTATCCACTCACATGTTCATATCGATTCCAATTCAATATATGCATATATTCTGTCAAGGTTCATTTCAATTTAACGAATATTGAGAGATTAGTTAAAAATGTTTACCCTCGCACACAAGATTTTGAGTCCAAATTTCTTGTCTTTAATGTCGCGTCTAAAAGAAAAAAAACTATAGAAGTGAATAAGTTCCTGTAAGTCTCTATATTGATGTGCTACTCCATTTTCCTTTCTGGGTAAAAAAAGAAAACCCTCAAGCTAAACAATGCAAAATCAGCCATGTATTGTTGTATATATATATGTGTGTGTGTGTGTATGGAGCTATTTTTGAGAATTGTGATCAACGTACGTAGCAAAATGGTGAACGTAATATTTTTTTTTTATTAATATATAAGCAAATCCTGAAGAAAATGAAGAGTCATAACTTTGGATATGCAAGAACGAATGTTCTTACATAGCAAAAATATGCAAATAATAAAAATCATGAGTGCAAAGATGTGGCGTCCTCCAGCAATGCTGCTGTGCTTCATTCAAACGACAAAGTTAGGAAAATATAAGGGCAGCAATTTAAATTAATTTTTAATGAATAATCGCTAGAAATATAATGTCCTGACGTGAAGAAATAAGCCGTTCGACATGAAATATTAGATCAGCGTATACTCTCTGGTTGGCCGGTCTTCTGAGTTTCTTGCTTTGGCCGGTCTGCTGAGTTTTCTTGCTGTTTGATTATGTTTTGTTGTTGGGGTAAAACTAAAGCATGTAATGTGAGTTCTACGACTGATTTATTTTCTACGGGGGAGTGAATTAGAACAATAATCCAATAACCCGCATAAGATTAAATAAGATTTGTAAAAAATGGAAGCACTTGGAAGGTATAACGTTGAAAATGTCAAAAGGTTTTTAGACGAAGTCTAGTAGTTTATTACTAATGATCAATATCGATATTGTTTCTAATATAAGCATTTGTTACTAATCTATTAACGAGTCGGGTAATTATCGTGTCACTTGTTAAAAATTCGGTAACTCATCGGGCCGTTATCAAGTCACCTGTTAAGATAACATGTATGACACATAAAAGACACGAACACGACCTGTTTTCTAAGTCTAGACATTAGGCATGACAATTTATTGCATGACTCATTAACCCGAAACGAGATGACGGCTTACGAGTCGGGCATTATCGGGCCACCCGTGAAGATAACGAGATTGATTAGGCACGATCCGTTAAAATAATGAATATGACACGACAATACGAACAGTTTCAGTTCTATTTGGAAGGTATAACCTTGTCTTTTTTACCTGTAGACTCGTGTCTGCACAGTGCAATGAGCTCTCAACCTATAAATACAGAAACTTAAGCTTCAAACCCTCACATTCTTCTCATCTTTCTTAAAAAAAAAAGTTAAGGTTAATATTATGAGGACGTTTAACCTAAAAACCCTCTCGTTCTTTGTTCTCATTGCGTTTTTTATCTCGTTTTCGAGTTTTCTCGAACCGTGTTATGCTCGAAAAGGAGGCAATAAGCAGCACTGGAGGAAGAAACAAAAGGGTTATGGTGGTGATCATCGCCGCTCTGCGAGGGAAGACAGTTACATCACACCGGAAGAAACTGCGGTGACACTTGGAGAAAACAGCGGCGGGGTTTCGAACGTGTTTAATGTGTTGGACTATGGTGCTAAAGGTGATGGAAAAGCCGATGACACCAAGGTGATTTTGGAAATTACATTTCGTTTTTTATGAAATAAACGCTGTAATTTTGTAACACAATACTACTGCCGGATGCTATCGTTGACTAGTTTCTTGCATTGCACGGCAGGCATTCGAGGCGGCGTGGGCAGCAGCTTGCAAAGTGCAGGCATCAACTATGAGTGTTCCATCCGGGTCTGTGTTCCTTGTCAAACCAATCTCTTTCTCCGGCCCTAATTGCGAAGCAAATATCGTGTTTCAGGTGAGCTTTCAAGTCTTAAACTGTCGTCAGTTCATCGGTTAGAATTTTTCTGATATATATTTGTCGATTTTTAACGCAGTTAGATGGTAAAATCATAGCTCCAACAAGCTCAGGGGATTGGGGTTCAGGTCTTTTACAATGGATTGAATTCACAAAACTAAAAGGGATTTCGATCAAAGGCAGCGGCGTAATTGATGGACAAGGCTCGGTTTGGTGGAATGACTCGCCGAAATACAATCCTGCAAAAGAATCAACGTATAGCAGTCTCGACGATTTGGTAACTAACTGTCCCTCCCTATATATACATCTCGGGCATAATCAAGTTAGCTAAAACAATGCGCCACATGCACCAGATCTTATGTCAAAGTTAAAACACAGCCGGCCAAACGCTTTTATTCAGCTTAAAAAAAACATCATTTTCCCTTTTGTTAGTTTATAGTGAAACTAATCGAGCATGCGTGCTTTTCTCCTGTCAACTTCATCAGCAGGCCACAGAAAGTAACAGTGGGGAAATGCCAAGCACCAAACCAACAGTAATAATCTCATCATCACCTTTCAGCTCGATCTTCGCGATTAATTTTATCAGCGTGGTGTGCTAATATATTTTGATGTGCAGGCTCTTAGGTTCTATGGAAGCGATGGCGTTAGTGTCACTGGCATAACACTCCAAAACAGCCCTCAGGCGCACCTCAAGTTCGACGACTGCACAAATGTCCAGGTTTCCGATATAAGTATTTCATCCCCTGGAAACAGCCCCAATACGGATGGAATCCACCTCCAAAACTCCCAAAATGCTGTCATTTCCGCCACCAGTATCGCTTGTGGTATAATTTTTCACAATCCGATCTTCTAGTAGGGCAACCTTGTCTAAAAACCTTGGTGAAGAACTGACATAAGTTGTAAATCACAAATAAATAAATAAATCATAAATTGTGTATAGCAGAAGTTACTTCTTTACCAAGTAAGAAAGAAAGTTTACGTTATCGACAACAATATAATGAGCTGCAACATCTAATGATCTGCAGGAGATGACTGTATATCAATACAAACAGGATGCTCGAACGTAAACATACACAACGTAAATTGTGGACCAGGTCATGGAGTCAGCATTGGAGGGCTCGGGAAGGACAACACGAAAGCTTGTGTTTCGAACGTCACTGTCCGAGACGTTCAAATGCACAACACACTCACTGGAGTCAGAATAAAGACATGGCAGGTACTGCTACATACAAAAACACACGGACCAAATAATTTTAAATCTCAGACAGAACCAAATTCTAAATGTTTTTCTAATTTCTGATGTAGGGAGGATCGGGGTCGGTCCAAAACATAATGTTCTCAAACATCCAACTAACAGAAGTTGAAACCCCAATCATGATTGACCAGTTCTACTGCGACAAGAGTAAATGCCAAAATCAGAGCTCCGCTGTGGCGGTTTCGGGTGTGAATTACGTAAACATACAAGGAACCTACACGTCCAAGCCCGTGCATTTCGCATGCAGTGACAGCTCTCCGTGCACCGGTGTGTCTCTGGATACCATAGAGTTGAAATCAGTTGATGAAGGGAAGCAGTTGTACGACCCTTTCTGTTGGGAGGCGTACGGAGTGCTCAAAACAAGCACAGTTCCTCAAATCGACTGCTTGAAGAAGGGGAAGCCGAGCACAATAACTCAATCCGGAAGTAGTGATTCGTCTTGCTGAGCTGAGCTTAGCTTAGCTTAGGGAGTTGATAGATTAGTATCGACGCGTTATTACCTCAGAGCTTGCAGGTCAAGTTGTAGACATCGAAATTTCGGTAAATAAATGTTGACCGATAAATCAAAGTGTCAACGCTCATGTATTACATAAATTTTACACGTAGCGTGTGACTCAACGAAAAATTGAAATGAGTTGGAAAAGTCATCAAATAGGACACGTGTCAACACCTGGCAGAAACGACTTATTTCATCTGGGATATTATATTCAAAGTTAGGCCTTGGAAAATTCTATAAATACAAGCCCATTTCATTCATTTAAAAAAAGAAAAGACCAAAATCATTAGGCAAAAACTCTTGAAGCTCTGAAGCTCTGAAACTCCGAAGCTCTCAAGCATCCAGGTTCCCGAAGAATCAAGAAAGCGTTCTTCGTTCATCGTTCTTCCAAGATCAAGCCCGACGGCCCTTGGATCAACAATCATCCACCTTCAAGCCCAAGCCTCAACGGCCTCTTGAAGAAAGCGTTCATCGTTCATCAACTGTTCATCCTCAAGGATCAAGCCCCAACGGCCCCTTTGGATCGACAACATCAACAAATCCGCTCATTCGCTTTTCATCAAGCCCAAGCCCCGACGGCCCTTGAAGAAAGCGTTCACCGTTCATCACTGTTCTTCGAGATCAGCCCAAAAGCCCTCGAAGATCCGTTCAAGCCCAAAAGCTCTCGAAGATCCGTTCGTCACTGTTCTTCGAGTTCAAGCCCAAAAGCCCTCGGAAATCCGTTCATCACTGTTCTTCAAGATCAAGCCCAAAAGCCCTTGAAGATCCGTCAATCACCATTCTTCAAGATCAAGCTCAAAAGCCCTCGAAGATCCGTTCATCCTCGTTCATCCAAGATCAAGCCTCGACGGCCCTTGGATCAATCGCATATCCCACAAATCAAACACCTTACGGAGATCGAATCAGAGGATCAAAATAGAGAGAGATTGTAACCCAAAATCATCAAAAATACAAATATTTGTTTGTGCGCGTTGTTCTTGTCTCTTTCGTTTCAGGAATTTTCCGTGTTCACAAATTGGCACGCCCAGTGGGACAATCTCTACCTCTCATCTCTTTCTCCGTTCAAGGAATCCAAGCACACCTCAAAGTCAATGGCATCAAGCAAGGGACAAGCCGTTCTTGCAACCACTGAGGGAAGGATCCTAAGCACTTTTGCCGCAAACGGACAATCCATTGGCGCCGCAAACGGACAATCCATTGGCGCCACAACCGTTCCTCAACATGCCACTTCAAAATTGGTGCCGCTAAAAGAGCAAGGGGAGCATCCAAGGTGTGAGTATGTCATCAACCTGACCTCACTGGGGGCACCGAAACACGATGTTGGGGCGCACAAGATGACATCCCAAAGCAGCCAACGACGTTCTTCATCAGCATCCTGGATGTCTAAAGGAAAGTCACGTCTATTGGTCGCACAAGTCATGACTATCGGCGTTACCTCCGTTGAAGAACAATTGGCTCAAATGAATGAAGCAATCGCAAGACTAACCCGAACTGTGGAAGAAAAAGACTTGCAAATTGCAGCACTCGTCAATCGACTAGAGGCGCAGGACGGCGATAAACACGACCCAGAGAATGATCCACTAAAAAGAAGAGATGACGAAGAAGATGAGCCTCAGGTGGAGAAAAACGATGCGAAGCCGGAGCCAGACCAAGCAGCGGCACTCATGGGATCTCTTTCTATCCAGCAGCTGCAAGAGATGATCACCAACACCATCAAGGCACAGTACGAAGGGAGCTCAAATACCTACGGGTTGTACTCAAAGCCGTATTCAAAGAAGATCGACGCCTTAAGGATGCCGAGGGGTTATCAACCACCAAAGTTCATGCAATTTGATGGAAAGGGAAACCCGAAACAGCACGTTGCCCACTTCGTTGAAACTTGCAACAACGCAGGAACCGAAGGGGATTACCTCGCCAAGCAGTTGTGTGCGCTCGCTGAAAGGAAACGCCTTTGAGTGGTACACAGACCTAGAGCCTGAGTCCATCAACAGCTGGGAACAATTAGAGCGGGAATTCCTCAACCGCTTCTATAGCACCCGCCGCACTGTGAGCATGCTAGAGCTAACGAGCACAAAGCAGTGGAAGGACGAGCCAGTCATTGACTACATCAACAGATGGCGCACTCTAAGCCTCGACTGTAAAGACAGGCTCTCGGAAACCTCTTCAATCGAGATGTGCATCCAAGGCATGCAATGGGGTTTGCAATACATCCTTCAAGGCATTAAACCACGGACCTTCGAGGAATTAGCCACTCGCGCCCATGACATGGAGTTGAGCATCGCCCATCATGGGAAGAAGGAACCAATCGCCAACTACAAGAATGAAAAAGTTCTTGAGACAAAGGTGGAAAAGGCTGCATGGAAACCCACCAAGGAAGCGATGACGGTCAACACATCTCCCGTCAAAATATCCACACGAGGCAAGGCAATTCAAGCCGAAGGCTTTCGTGATCAAGAGATGCGTAGACGCACTTTGAAGGAGCTCGAGGAGAAAACTTATCCATTCCCCGACTCTGATGTGGTTGCCATGTTAGAAGACTTGCTGGAAAAGAAGGTGATCGGCTTGCCTGAATGCAGACGGCCAGAAGAAATGAATCGCACCGACAGTCCAAGGTACTGTAAATTCCACCGCTTCATCAGTCATCCGACAGAAAAGTGTTTCGTGCTGAAAGATCTCATCATGAAGCTAGCTCAGAAAGGAATCATCGAGCTAGATCTCGACGATGTGGGGGAGTCAAACTGTACCACCTTCACTTCTGGCTCTTCCGACTCAAAGTTTTCACCTCAACCACTGGGGGCATCCTCCAAGACAAGCAAAGTAGAAGGATGGACTCAAGTCACTTCTAAGAAATTGCACAAGAAGCATACGTCTCCTCCACAAGACCGCCAATCGGAAAGGGGGCAAAGCAGCTCTTGTCAACCTTCAAAGCAACGTGAACTTGTTGAAGATGATGAAATTTCGACACATAGATCGTCCATCCCCATCACGATGCGCGATTTCTTGCCCGAAGACTTCTTCAATCACGCGGTCAAAGCTCCTTGCTATGAGAATTGTGAGGAACGCCTCTCCCGGATTGCTTGACAAAATTCACAAATTCTCCTCGCCCGCACGAGTCTAAACTGCATGGCACAAAGCTCCTTGTCTGTAAGAGCCTAAACTGCAAGACACAAAGCTCCTTGTCTGCAAGAGCCTAAACTGCAAGACACAAGGCTCCTCGCCCGCACGAGTCTAAACTGCATGGCACAAAGCTCCTGGTCTGCACGAGCATAAAAGGCAACATCAACGCTCCTGGTCTGCACGAGCATAAAAGACAACCCCAACGCTCCTTGCCTGCACGAGCTGAAACTGCAACACGGCACCAAACGCTCCTTGCCTGCACGAGTTGAAACTGCAAACGGCACCACCAAAAGAAAATACAAAAAAAATATATCTATGTATTTTGAACTACGTTTTGACTTGATCTCTTTCTTTGGAAGGGTACGTAGGCAGCTTGAATATTCAATTTCAAGTTCAGTCACATCAAAATAAAATAAAAAATGTGTTATTAAATAGAGTCAATTTTATTACAAAAAAAAAAAAAAAAAAAAAAGATACATGTTTTATGTATTTACAAAAAAAAAATATAGAGAAAAAATAAAATAAAATACATATGTTTTATGTATTAAAAAAAAAGAAAAAAAAAAGAAAAGGAACATATTCCTTATATATATATATATATATATATGTATGTATGTATGTATGTCCTCCATCTAGCAGCAATAAGCCCATCAAAAGGAGGTTGTCCAAGCCCAATCCTAATGGCCAAATCCAGCTCCAAGAAGAAGACCCAAGTTCACCTACTACAAATCCAAGCCCAAGCCTTCCTCCATTTCACAGAGTCCATACCAGATGAAGCTTTTGAAAATGGGTGTGCAGAGAGATTCGAAGCTCGACCTCCAGAACAACGCCATCTCCGGTGAAGTCCCTGACCTCTCCACCGCAATCTCCACATTCTTTCCTTCGCACGGCCGCCATGAGCGAACTAAGCGGGTGCGAGCACCCGAGCAAGAAGCAAAAACTCGCGGGTCCGGATCCAGGATCAAGTCAGAAAGTTGTGGCTAAATACAAGCAGCTTCCATGGATGATTAGCAAAATGTAGACGAGACCTAGCAGACGGCCAGAATGAGGCTTCTCAGCAGCAGGCACCACTAAACCCAAAGCCCAGCTACAAATCCGGGCCCGGCTCTCAAAGCCCATCCTCACTCAGCTTCAAGCCTTCATCTCCACCAGTCTCTCCTGCTCATCGTTAACAGCTTCAAGACCAGGTCAGGCCCAGAACCACGGCCTCGATCTGCGCATTCTCCGCTACTCACGACCTTGGCGTTCGCTCCGTCACCATCCATGTCTCATGCACTCCCTTGGAGCACCTGCGCCAGTATCTTAAAACTTTCGCCAATCTCCACCAAATCATTTTGGATTCCCAAAAGAGTCTTCGATTGCTACAGAGAATTGGACGAGGGAACGCCGTCGTTTTATGGCAATGATGGTACTGATGAAGATGGGGCTGCATTCCGTGCTTACATGCTGCTCTGCTGCTGCTGCATTCCGTGCTGATGAAGATGGGGAACGTCGTCACTTGTTGCTCTGCTGCTGCCTTTGAATGTGATTAACAAAACCAAAGTTTGTCAAGTCACACTTACTGGCCTCAAAGACGTCGCCACCTCTGAAAAAAAAAAATTTTGGACAGGAACTGGAGCTTGCTCTCTTCGCCCGCTTCGCTTCGATCAGCCTGGATGACGACGCTTTGGTCCTGATCTCGATTCGCTGCAGAAACCTCTCATGCCTTAGTGCTCCTCGAACCCTGAAGTGCTCAAAGACGGCGTTCATGGCTTTTGCGCAGAACATGTACGAGCTGTTGTGGATACCGCAGAGCCGCTTCACGGAGAGTTCCTCGAGTGCAAAAATGGCATCAGTGTCACTAACTCTTCATGTCTATCCAAACCACCGCACGATGGCCAAAAAAAAAAAAAAAAAAAAAAACAATCAAAACCCGAACGGATTTCACCGGCGAACGCAGTCTTTCTCGGCGCTCTAGCTCCCAGCATTAACTGTCCAACATCGACGACGCTGAGATTTGTGTTTGTGATGTTGGCTGGAGCTTTGTAACGACAATTATGGCTCGGCCAAGGCATGTGCATGAACGCAACAAGCTACGACGTTGTTCGATTGTCGCGGTGCTTACAACAGCGGCGGAGAATATGAACATAGCAACAGATACAAGACCAGCAGATGCTGCAGTAGAAGAGATGATAGTGGGTCATCCCTTGCCTCTAGCTGTATCTTCATGACGCTGTCTCTGCGTTTGCAGCCATGCTGACAATTGTCGGGGCTACATCCGGATGCGCGGCGGTAGGGAGCAAGCTGAGCTCCAAGTAGTACGGAGCGCACATAGTGCTAAAGGCGCTGACGGCAATTCCAAGGGTCGCTGGAGATGCTGGTGTTCACGAGCGCCTCCTCCTGCAAATCTCCCGTCCCGTCCGCCCTCATCCACTTCAAGCTCGAGTCCCTCAAGCTCCACGTCATCACCTTCCTCGAGGAGTTCTCCGACCAGCAGCCCCAAAACGCCGGCGTTATCACCTCTTCCGTCCAAACTTCACGGCTATGCTTCTCCCGCTGCTCCAGCTTCTGTGCATCATTGCCGTCTCTGCCGCAACGACCTCAGCCCTTGCCTTCCTCCATGCTATTCCCCATCCATATATATATATACATATATATAAATACATACATATATATATATATACACATGTATGCCAGAAGAATAAAGAAGGGATGGTGGAGTCTTTGGTGCTCTGGCACCATGTGAAAAAAAAAATGGAATCTTGATTCATCATGGCACCATGTGTGAGTACCACCGAAGAAAAAAAAAATATATATATATATACAAATAAAAAAAGGAGAAGGAATGGTGCCTCTGGCACCGCAGCAAAATATATATAAAAAAAAAAAAGGGATCTTTGGTGCGTCTGGCCAAAAGAAAAAGAAAAAAAAAACAAAAAAACAAAAGAGTATATGTACATAATATATATATATAGCCGAAAAAAAAAAAAAAAAAAAATTGCATTGAGAGAAATAAAGTCCATTTTATTTATTTTTCTGGGAATTTTTACATAAAATTGCATTCTACATACCAAAAAAAAAAAAAAAAAAAAAAAAAAAAATTTACAAATGTGCAAACAAACGGGAGGGAGTCTTTATTGCTCAGGTGGTATCTCAGTACTCGGCGGAACTCCAGGAAGAAGAGGAGCCAAAGGTTGATCATTCGGAGCTTCACTACGCGGTACAGCCCCAGAAGACGAAGGCAAATGTTGTTGGAACAAACCCACAAACCTCCGATGATCAAGTAAAATCTGACCATCAGATTCCTGCATCTGGTCAATTTTCCTCTTCATGTTTGTGGCATAGTTGTGTGCGAGCTTGTGCAACTGTTTATTCTCATGTTTGAGCCCTCTGATCTCCTGTTTGAGACTCATCACTTCAGCCGCCAACGATTCAACTTGACGGGTTCGAGCAAATAGGCGTTGGGCCATGTTGGACACAGAACCCGCGCACTGCACACTAAGGGCCAGAGACTCCTTAACAGCCAACTCATCAGACCGCTTGGAAAGCAGTCTGCTATCTTTGGGAGTGACAAGGTTCCGGGCCACCACCGCAGCGGTCATATCATTCTTCATCACCGAATCCCCAACGGTAAGAGGACCAGTAGGGGATATGAAGGATGGGCGCCATATGTTGTCTGGAGAAGGCGGGACTGCCTCTTCACCAAGATTCAAGTCAAAACGACGGTCGGAGGGTCCAGACATTTTCAAAGTATTGAAGAAAGAAGAGATCGGACAAATCAAGATCTTAGAAGTGCAAGAAGGGAGTTTTCACAAGCGAAAATTCAAGTGTGCTTTGAAACGAACAGCGTGCCTCTATAAAAAATCAGCACTCGATGGGATTTCAGAGATCGAAGAGGCGAGCTCAGAATTCGAAGAGGCCATTCAAAAATCGAAGAGGCAAGCTCAGAAATCGGAGAAGCATCTTGCTTTTCCAGACGCGTCGGCACCCGTCACACGCAAACTCAGCTTTGCGAAAATCACGGGCAATTTGTCGAAGCACCGATCCCAGATATCGAAGAGGCGCCAGTCTTTTTTCAGCCACGTCATCACCCATCACACGCAAACTCAGCTTTGCGAAAATCACGGGTAATTTGTCGAAGCGTCGATCCCAGTTATCGAAGAGGCGCCATCCTTTTCTCAGCCGCGTCAACACCTGTCACATGCACACTCAGCTTGGTAAAAATCACGGGCAATTTGTCGAAGATTTTCGGTGAAGGAGAAAGCACGTGAAGTATACTGTTCAATCATCCAACGGTTGCCGACACGAGTGAAAGAATAGTACATCTACAGGTGTTAAAGAACTTCCTATAACTGTCCATCTTCACCTTCCATAGCAAAGCAGACATACAGAACCTTTCTTCATCTCTGAGAATGTCTTCCCAACGAAGCCTCTTGAGTTACCCAGTGTTCCTTATTCCTTGGGGTACCTCTGCAAGCCAATGACTCCAAAGCAAAAGTATCTCATATCACCAGGGTAGAAAGCAAGAGTATCTCATATCATGCGTTCTCCCTGTCCTTTCCTTTGTCCTTGTTCTTACCTACAAAGACAAGGATAAAGAAAACAATATGCCGGAACTTCCACTCAAACTCGGGTAAGGAACCGACTGCTTGGAACCCTTCCCTGATTGCCTACCTAGCACTGCTCTCGAGTACTCGCCTTCCACTGCTGCTGTACTTTCAAAGAAGCTGCCGCATCTGCCTGAAGAACAGATAAGGCAAGTGAAAATGATACCTTGCAGCATGTGGAGACAAGGTGCAGAAGGAACAAGCAGAGAAGAATGCGGTCTGCACGGTCAACTCAGCAGAAGGAGTCCGAACTGAGGAAACTCGAGAAGCTGCCATATCTGCCTGAAGAAACAAGCAGAGAAGAATGCAGCATGCACAGTCAACTCAGCAGAAAGAGTCCGAGATGAAGAACTCGAGAAGATGTCGCATCTGCCTGAGGACAGTGAACTTGTTTTGACCCTCAAATTCTTGGGTCGACTTACTAGGCGTTGTGGGCTGCACGTGCCGATTCACCACCCTTGAATCGAATCCTTAAAGATCAAGTCACCAACTGGAAGAAGAGTTCATCAATCTTGAAGATCATACCGTTGACCAAACTGCTCAGGTGTGAATTAGAAAGATTGAACAAAGAAACAGGTTGTCACCTTTACCTCGTGCCTGCTTGTCATGTGTTCGAGTCAACCTTCAAGAATCAAGCCTAAACGGCCCTTGAAGAAGCTTTCAGCCAAATTCGAAATCAAGCCTCGACGACCCTGCAAGAAATCACAAGTCTGATTCAAGATCAAGTGTCTACCACCCTTGAATCAAAACCTAGTTCAAGAATAAGCTGTGGAAAATCAACAATTGGAGGAATCCAGAAAATCCTCCAACCCAGTTCAAGATCAAAGCTGTGGAAAGTCAACAAGCGCAACAAAATACGTGCTGATTCATCCACTACCAAAGCCAAAAATCATCTACCACATGAAGCTCCTTGTGGCCCAATTTCAACCTTCAAGATCAAGCCTCAACGATCCTTGAAGAAATTTCAAACAAAAGTTCAAAAACAAGCCTCAACGGCCCTTGAAGAAATCTCAAGCCCAATTCAAGATCAAGCCTCAACGGCCCTTGAAGAAATCTCCAGCCCAATTCAAGATCAAGCCTCGATGGCCCTTGGATCGACATCTACAATAAGGGACTTCAAAAACGCATCTCCTACACGTGACAAGCACATGTATACGACGTGCCTTGAAGTGGGGGCATTTGTAGACATCGAAATTTCGGTAAATAAATGTTGACCGATAAATCAAAGTGTCAACGCTCATGTATTACATAAATTTTACACGTAGCGTGTGACTCAACGAAAAATTGAAATGAGTTGGAAAAGTCATCAAATAGGACACGTGTCAACACCTGGCAGAAACGACTTATTTCATCTGGGATATTATATTCAAAGTTAGGCCTTGGAAAATTCTATAAATACAAGCCCATTTCATTCATTTAAAAAAAGAAAAGACCAAAATCATTAGGCAAAAACTCTTGAAGCTCTGAAGCTCTGAAAACTCCGAAGCTCTCAAGCATCCAGGTTCCCGAAGAATCAAGAAAGCGTTCTTCGTTCATCGTTCTTCCAAGATCAAGCCCGACGGCCCTTGGATCAACAATCATCCACCTTCAAGCCCAAGCCTCAACGGCCTCTTGAAGAAAGCGTTCATCGTTCATCAACTGTTCATCCTCAAGGATCAAGCCCCAACGGCCCCTTTGGATCGACAACATCAACAAATCCGCTCATTCGCTTTTCATCAAGCCCAAGCCCCGACGGCCCTTGAAGAAAGCGTTCACCGTTCATCACTGTTCTTCGAGATCAAGCCCAAAAGCCCTCGAAGATCCGTTCAAGCCCAAAAGCTCTCGAAGATCCGTTCGTCACTGTTCTTCGAGTTCAAGCCCAAAAGCCCTCGGAAATCCGTTCATCACTGTTCTTCAAGATCAAGCCCAAAAGCCCTTGAAGATCCGTCAATCACCATTCTTCAAGATCAAGCTCAAAAGCCCTCGAAGATCCGTTCATCCTCGTTCATCCAAGATCAAGCCTCGACGGCCCTTGGATCAATCGCATATCCCACAAATCAACACCTTACGGAGATCGAATCAGAGGATCAAAATAGAGAGAGATTGTAACCCAAAATCATCAAAAATACAAATATTTGTTTGTGCGCGTTGTTCTTGTCTCTTTCGTTTCAGGAATTTTCCGTGTTCACACAAGTCTCTGAAGCCTTTCTTCTCGACCCTATACCGCCATGGAACAACGACGTTTGTAGTTAGAACGGCGTTTTCATGAATGTGTTGTGTGTTGCTTTCCCTGCTACAGGTTAAGTTTTTGTTATATGAATTATATTTGGCCTGCTGAATATAATGGGTTGAACTCAATTATATATTAATCAAGATTAATGATGGTGTGACTAATTATATAATTAAGCCAGAAAATGTATAATTTGTGTGGGTAAACAAAATAATAAATTACATCACCGGGCTTTCACATCTATAAGCTCTTCAAGTGTTTGTGGAGGCCTATACCAACTGCGATTTTCCGAAGCCAGTAGCATCCTTCATCCTTCTGCGGGTTTCGACCCTTTCAGGACTCGGGAGTCCTGTCCTATCCTCGTACTTCTTTTCTAAGGCCTGTTAACATAAGACAACAATTAGCAATTAATACTAATACTAATCGATTATCAAGGTAAAGAAAGTCGTCAATTTGACAACACTTGCTTTAGTCTCTGTTTGTGGTGACATAAGTACCTCCCTACAACTAATCAATTTAATAATTCTTACAAGAACAAGGTCTACTCGACATAAACTTTCAGAAAATCTAATAAAACGAAGAATGAATCAATGAAATGTTACTTGATCTTCTTTGGGAACTTGAGAAACAACACTACGGGCATGCCCACTTACTAACCTGTAGCTGTGCACAAATGGTTTCAAGAACTCCGTCACTCATTCTATCGAAGAAGAGAACGCCCTACAGATGAAGAAACCATATAAGCAGGAGGGAAACAGAGCAGCAATACACAAATTTCTAGTCACCAGGATCCTCTTTAGAACTATGAAGCTTTCAACAACGACAAAGCTTACAAAAATAAACAATCCAACAAACAGTGTCATGTCATAGATTTTTACTCTCAACTCTCCGAAATAAGAACAATATGGTAGGTGCCTTGGGGCAATACACTTGGTTTACACAAAACTCAGGGGCAGGCCCTCATCTGCATTATATCAAATCTTCCGCCAAGTACACTCATGTCAAGTGCACTTCAGAAGTGATATCACGAGAACATAAAAAGAGCTTCCCATACAATACCTCCCACATGATCAAAAGTTAAACAACCGCCATAGTTCTAGGTACCTCCTCAATAGTGGGATGTCCGTAACTAATCCTAATCTGCATAGTACAGGTTCTACGTGGCACAAAATGTAAACTGAATCTAATGAAATCGAGCACCTAAATGTGTAAGTTATGCTTTCCCTAATGTAAAGGGAACTACAATCCATAGTTATATAACTGAAAGTAGCTTGAATAACAGTTAAATAAAGAACCTGCAAATGATCAAATTCATGCTGGAACACCCGTGCTGGAAGACCTGACAAGCTGACTGTAAACCTCGCACCTTTAATATCCTGTGCATCTATTTTCACAGTTTCTGGTCTCTGCAAACACAGAACTTAGAGGCGTCAACAAAAACATGACTACACACATAGAGCAAGCCATTTAAGCTTGTTGTATAGCACGAAAATGGTACGCAATGAACAAGACATCTAACAACTATTTCTGTTATACTAAGATTTAATTTCTTGAACATTTTTGTAGTCATTTGAAAACCAATAGGAAATTAAAAACAAGGCCAAAGCAGAAAACTTTTAAACCAGCATATATAAGAACAGCACGCACCACAACATCAGCATAAATTCCCGGGAAGGATAAGCAACCCTCGTTAAAGGGTCGCTTTTTCTGGGAATATCTGGTAACCCTTGGATTCACAAGCACAATTTCCTCCCCTTCGCCACACTCAACAACCGGAGTAAACACCATGAGCTGCGCATTGATCCCTACTTGGGGCGCCGAGAGCCCTATCCCATCACTCCTGTGAATAACAAGCATTTCACATAAATCATAACTTGGATTTTGGCACCTAGTAAATGCGACATTCTACTTTAAACTAATCTAAATTGGCGGAGAATCGGGTGCATAGGAAAACACATATGCTGAAGATAACAATTAACAAGTCATGGAACTCACTTGTACATTACATCAAACATTTCATCTACCAAATTCTTCAAATGATCGTCGAAAGAATCGATTCGCTTGTTCTTCGCTCTCAGAATCGGGTCCGGATACTCCACAATTCTCAGAGGGGTTTGAAATTCCACATCAGCAGCTATATATCCATGATCCATCACGCAATTCATTGCAAAACCAACAATTAGGAACAAACTGAGCATATAGAGATCGAAAAGTTTTGTTCTTTCTTTCTGTTTTCATGGAGTTTTGGCTTACCGGAGGCCACATCATCTTCTTTGACTGAGAAGCCTGTCCTGGCCTGTGTGGGGACCGGAATCAGCCGGTTCACGGTGGATACTAGGGGGCTGGTTGAGGAGAAACCCCTGAGCCGGTGGAAGATGGCGGGAAAGGTCGACCGGCGGCAGAGAGTTGGAAAGAGAGCACGGGAGGAAGAAGACAGTGGGTGGAGCGAAGCAGCACAAGCCATGCTGCCCACACAGTCAAACGGAAACGACTGCGGAGGGCGCGCAAAGAAGAAGTGCCTGTGTCTTGTGGCCCGTTTGCTTATGTGATAATTTCGCCACAAAATCGCTTTTGAAATAAGTGCTTTATTACTTATTCTCAATATGTTCAAAACTTTGGGCTCATTTGAGATTGTATTTCCAGACGGTTTTTTAGAAAGTACTTATGTGTGCAAGGGCTTTTGAAAGCAGGTTTTTTATTGAATATATAATTTATTTAATAGAAAATATGAGTACTTAAAAAAAAATAAAAGTGATTTCAAAATAAGCAAATAATAATTGCTTTTTAGAATCTACTTCGACTTCTTTTAAAACGATTAAAATGAATTTTTTAGAACTAGAAAAAAAAAACACTTTTGATGACGTCAGAAAGAAAACCTGATAATGCTTTTAAATCCTAAAAGTGCTTTTAAAGAAAAACATAGCACTTTTTTTTTCGTATTTGTGATAAAACACTTCTAGCATATAAGTGCTCCCTATAAACGGAATTGGATCCCATCCGGATCCACTTTATAGGGATCCTAGGAATTCCAACATCTTAGCCTAGGATCCTCACGTCTTAGTCATTCATCGTGTATCGTGCGATAATGAATCATTTGATTTTTTTTTATTTAAAATTAAACACAAATAATATTTGACAAAAACTAATCGTACGATGTACGATGAATGATTATAACGTAGAGATTTCTAGAATCTTCACAAAGTGAATCCGAAGAGGATTCTCTTCAACTAAAAACAATCCAAATTCCAAATCCCCACAAACCGACCGCAATGTATTATTTGGAATTTCAATGAAACGACAGCGTTCTGAATCTAACCGCGGTAATTAACTGACTGACCAGGGTCCAGGGGAGAGAAAAGGGCAATACTAATAAAAGTCGCGGCTTTGCTTCCGTTGCCTCCTCCTCTCATTTGATCCTTCCTCGTTCCTCCAGGTCTCTCTCTCTCTCTCTCTCTCTCTCTCTCTCTCTCTCTCTAGAATTTCTTCGTCCTAAATTCGAATTCTTCGTTACCAGATTTGAATCGTAGATCTACAGTTGCACGATCGATCTTTGATCTCCATGTAAATTGAAACCCCTTTTGGTTATTTTTCAATTCAACAAACGGATCTGATTGAATTTTGCATGCGATATGATTCGTATGATTGAAATTTTGGATTGATTTTTCTTGGTTTTATTGTAATTTGAAATCAAATTTGCTAATTTTGATTTAACTGTGGATGTGTGATTGGTTGTGTTTGGCAGCTGAATTCGATTGAAAAATGGGGCTTACGTTCACGAAGCTCTTCAGCCGGCTCTTTGCCAAGAAAGAGATGCGAATTCTGATGGTGGGTCTCGATGCGGCCGGTAAGACCACCATCTTGTACAAGCTCAAGCTCGGAGAAATCGTCACCACCATCCCCACCATTGGTAAGAGCTTCGATTCCCTAATATTATTGTTATAGTTCCGTAAGTTTCCATCTTTCATTTGAAACACTCCAATTTCGACCTGAATTTTAGATCAATTTCGCTTTTCGGGTTTAATTTGTTTTACGCTTATGAAGAATTGTATGATGGTTTTGGTTTCGTTGGTGCTTTTTCCTCCTCGTGATCTGGTGCGGTTAAGATGAGGATTGTTTCACTTCTCTGATGTCTTGTGGATAAAAGTTTCGTAATTTGCATTTTCATTTTCTGTACAAGAGTGGTTTTTTTTTTCCTTTTTTTGCAGGATTTAATGTGGAGACAGTAGAATACAAGAACATCAGCTTCACCGTCTGGGATGTCGGGGGTCAAGACAAAGTAATTTTCTGCCTTTTTGTATATCTGCGTGCACTTTTAATATGTTGTTGGTTGTGCAACAAGTTTTTTGGTCATTGTGGTTTTTCTTCTACCACGGGAGTGAGATCCCTGTAGGCGGATGCAAAAACATTTTATATGATCTCTTTTCATGGAATATATAGAGAATTGGAGGGTATATTTACTTCAATGTTTATCCGTGTCAAGCGAGGACATCTGTCTGAAGTTCTAATTATACATATCCAATGACTGATCGGGTTTCTTCCATTCGTAGATCCGACCATTGTGGAGGCACTACTTCCAGAACACACAAGGTCTTATCTTTGTGGTTGATAGCAATGACAGGGATCGAGTTGTTGAGGCAAGGGATGAATTACACAGGATGTTGAATGAGGTAGTTCTTGGCTCCCTTATATTTTCATTCTGCTTGTTTATGTTGCGATTTCTAATGTTCCTGTTGTAAATGGAGACGAGGAGGTTGTATGCCTTCTGAATTTTGTTGTGTTATTTAGTTTTCTTCTGTACTTAAATTTGTGGATTCGATTAAAGTTTCATTTAGTTTGATACATACTTTCCTGAGCTACATTTGTGAATTCCATTCTTTTAGTTATGATCCTTTTTGCCTTTATAAATTCTACTTCATTTGTACTAAGACAAAACTCTGGTTTTGTTCCTGTAAATGACTAGAACCTTGTTTAGGATACAACAATGGTACATATTGCTTATGTATACTTGGAACTAGGGTTTGAAGTTAAAATTTTTAATTGTTTTCAGGATGAACTAAGGGATGCTGTTCTGCTTGTATTTGCCAACAAACAAGATCTTCCTAATGCAATGAATGCCGCCGAGATAACTGATAAGCTTGGTCTTCATTCTCTCCGTCAACGTCACTGGTAAGTTATTGATATACGGTGGGAGTCTACTGATTAGTCTCTCTCTTGAGCTGGGAAAAACTTTCACCTTGATTTAAATACGGATGGTTCAACTTAAACGAATGAGTTCTTGAACATCAATGCTAAGATCTTGGGCAAAAGTTGAATACTGGATATAATTGTTGTTCTTTTTCCAGGTACATCCAGAGTACTTGTGCAACCTCTGGAGAGGGCTTGTACGAGGGGTTGGACTGGCTTTCCAACAACATTGCTAGCAAGGTAATAAATTCATTGTTTTGTTTAGAATATCATCTCATGGTATTATTTCTGGAATCTATTACGGTGAATCCCTCATAAAACATGACGGATTAGATTTTTTTTATTAGCAAGATACCATCCATATTTGAATTCTATATTTCTGACGGCCCCCTCTCTCGTTCTTTACAGGCATGAGAGAATTGAGGCCAAGGAGTTTGGTTGCTTGCCTTGGAGATTCTGGGGAAGGATAGTTTTCTTTATTTCGATGAATGTTGTAATAGCAGAATGTTTTGGAGAAACTCTCTCTGAATTCGTGTGTGTGTTTGCTACTCTAGCTATACTGTTTAGCTGTAAACGAAGTTTCTATGTCGTTACCTTTGTTTTGACACATGAGCCAAGGTTATATTTTATCGTGTTTGCTTCATTAATCTGTTTGATTTTTACGATGAATTGGATTCGATAACTTGTTAGATTCAAGGATAGTTGAAATAAAAGGGACCTTTGAATTTTGTCCAGGTTGATTTTGTTTGAGAACTAATTCATCTTCTATCTTCAACTCAGACAAAATTCGGAAATTCGGAAGTTCGTCTCTGTTTCGCCCTTCAACGTACCCCAATTGCACCTTTGGGTTTGAAACCCAACGTGGTATGTTGGCAAACCCAATTGTACTGTCACGGCCCACGGGGGTTCTTCTTCTACTTCTATATTACCAGTCTATGATATGATATCACAAAAAGAACATAAACTCAGAGACATCGAGGTTTTCTCTGCTGCCCAGAACATGCGCATGGCTTACGCATACTTGTTTTCATTTGAAAAATGGAAGGTCGAGATTTAATTAACTTAGTTGATACGTAAGCCATGCGCACGTGCCTCATGTGCTGCAGAGAAAAACTGTAGAGACATCTATATAAAGTTTAAACTAGAACTTGTAACTCAGTTGATTAAAAACATTCTTCCTTTCACCTGAAATCTTCGGTTCAAATCTCCTCCTCATCCCCTAATTTTGCTTGTATCAACAAAAAAAAAACAAAAAAAAACCTTCTAAACATACATATAATAGTATTATAATTACAAGTATCAGCATAATTTGATATTAAATTGATGATTATAGCGGAGATTGACAGATTGTCTCATTCCAATTTTATCGGATGTCCCCGAAAGGATGGAGATCCATGGACTCATAAGAAAAAAATATTTACATAATTCAATACTAATACAAATTCATAATGTTGAAACATAAGTGAAATTAAGTTGATAATCATAGCGGAGATGGACTCATGCTTACACACTTTTGAAACCCTTGTCAAAGCTTGTATGAAGTTCCCTTCCCTTACAAGGATGGGATTTTCTTCCCCATCTACAAACGTAGGGAGAAAATCCGTCTCCGAAGTCTTTGAAGCGTCTCCTCCTAACCGCGAGTGTTACTTTTTACGAACTTTAGTCGGGTTTTGAACTTCGGCCCACATGCCAGGAAAAACAAAACCAAAGCACTTGAACAAAACTAGGTGGCCATGGCACTTGAACAAAACTAAGTGGAAATTTAACAGATCAGATGAAGATCTTCAACTTTTTGGATTTTCAAACAAAGTGCAATCCGCATTTTGAGCTGAACGTATTATAAGGAAACAAATGTAGATGTCGGGGACGAGTTTGTTATAAGTCAAATGACCTAACTCAATATCTAACATCACACTAGAATTTCGACTTATTTGGATGCACAACATTAACACACTTGTTGACAAAAAAACTCTTTTAATAGAGGCTCACACTCATTGTATGTGACATCACCCTGTATTAGAGATAATTTGTGGCGGGGAGAGAAGCTTCAATTTCCACTCGTGAGATAGTAACGAAAAACATACGTACAGATGAACAGTTAAAAATACATAGCTAAATTATGAGATTTTAGACCCTTAAATTGGAGAGAGCCTTAATATTGTGTCCGTAATCTAAGCAAACCCTTATCTTTAATGTCCAGCACAAGATTTGGCCACGAAAGCGATCTTACTCGCACCATGTTAACACTCGATTGATATGTCACAAGTCATTACTCAGTTAGCATAAATGAAGAAAATTATGCTGTCATATAAACCTAATTAATTAGAAGAAGAAAAAGAATCTATGAAATCTCATCAAATCTTGTTGTAATACCTAATTATTTAATGGAT